CACACTTTAGACGGTGCGACCATCAAAGTAGTCAATGCTTGGCCTATTAAATAAACTTGATACAGGTAGTTCTATGGAACCTGATGGAGTCCATCCCAGATTGTTAAGTGGACGAGGATACTTTATTATCAATCCCTTGATTATACTTCTTGTTTGCCTGAAACTCAATGTAAGTTACCCAAAGACTGGAAGAATGCTAAAGTAAGTCTTCTTGGAAAGAGGTACGTAATGTAAAAATTAGAACCATTGTCGTGGAGTGTGTGACCGCTTACGGTCTTTACGAAATTTAAGATAACGTGTAAGGGTATTTCATAATTCCAGGTCGTTTGAGGCTTTTCTTTGACTGAAGAAACGCTGGCATCAGAAGATTTGGTGATTCCTAAGACGCGGTCGGCAGATGCAGCCAGCTCGTCTAAGGCGTTGTTTTGAAACGAGACTAGCATAGCTTGCACCTGTTGAGGATGCTTAGATAAGAGACGTCGTCTGAATAGGCCGTCATCGAAAGTCCTTCGACCAATCACCTCCCTCATTCTTAGCAACATGTCTGTCATAGAACCGTGTTGCAGGTCGATGCTATTGAGGAGCTGATCTAACCTGTATTAATCAGTTAGGTCTCCGCGTTTAAGGATAGAACGTTTCAGCGCTTCGTAGGGTTCAGAAATATCACTAGTAAACATACTAGACGTTACGTACCTGTTGAATTCGCGCGGTAGTGCCTTGACTACTGCGAGTAATTGTGCACGTGTGTCGTTCGCGCCATGCTCGTGGAAGTCAGCCTCTGCGTAGCAGAACCAGGCTTTGATGTTGTCTGGCCAGAAGGGCATCAGTTGGAACGAAGTTGGGGACATAGTGTTTAGCTTAAGTATCTTGGGTGCCTGTTCAGTCACAGTGAAATATCAAGTACGAGAATGAACGAGTGAAAAATATATATACCCAAAAACACGGAAAAAATATCACAATGTATAAAAAATTAAAATAAGGCAATTTGGTGTGCCAGATCACGTTGGGCTCACCAATGAAAATGCCACAGGTATTCGGAGTTTAATAACGCTTTAACCAGTAACACCTAATATGAATCACACACATCAAGTGAAACCAAAAGACAGAATCGAGGAGATTGGAAGATATATTTGTTGACTATCAATATATCGAGAATCGTCTGATCTAATCTGGGAAGCGATTGCAGTAGATGTTGAACACGGCGTTCACACTCGTGATCTAGTGCGGTTGCATGACTGAGCACCTTCAGCTTGGTGAGTCCATTAAAACTAATGTGGTCAGTATCCAATTTCGGAAAATTACAGAGCTATTTATTTTGGGGATTTATTTACCGCTACAGCGCGAAAAGTGAAAAAGACTCTTTACTCTAAAGCTAGTTAACGGACAGACAGATAACAGTATTTACACCATTACAGATAGCATTGAGCTTCTGGGATCTTTCGGAACCATACTAACTACAATAATCGCATAAGCAGTTATCCCAAAATACCTGTGCCATAACACTCCAAATTTTCTATATGTTTCGGCGATGGTTCTATTCAACGTCGACTGATTAACGAGTTTTCGAGGATTCCTGAGCCTCTAGTGACTAATCGAGGGATATTTTGTGACTCCTCCAACGTCCATCTCTGATAAAATATATGACTTCTTTCTCGGTTTTACTTTAAACATGATGGCTGGTCTGTGGCGGTGTTCCCCCTCATTTTTCATTAGTTGCTTTCGTTCTCATTCGAAGCTTTTACTTTGTAATAGTCTGTACGTATATCTAGTGAACGATTCACTTGTCCCCACTAGTTTTCATCGTCCTTCTATCTTTATGGACTTGGTTCGTATAGCTTATCCATGTACAAAAACTTGTCAATATTTTGTACAATTATCCATGATTTCCATAGCTTTCGACGCTGGTGTGATTTGATGAATACCTTTTCCACCATGTTATAATTGCAAGTACAACTACTTTTCCTGTGGCAACCCACTTTTTCAGGAGTAGCGTAGGGTTAGAAATCGTCCGTATATTTCTCCCAAACATGGATTCACCTGGTGACTCCCCATCTGGTATAACAGGAGTAAAAGTGATTCTCTAAAAAACCGAAAGCTCGTTGGCTGCTTGACTCTTTTGAAGATGTCCATGTAGTGTTCTCCATGTCCGTTAGACTGAAGATGATAGGGTGAAGAACATTAGCGAGTTATTCCATTTAAATCATACAATTAACTGAATGTGTCAACGGTTAAATGAGAGCCATTATCTGCCATCAAAGTCTCTGGGACCTCGAAACAATTAAGCAAAGTGAACAACTTTTTGATAGTCTCTCTAACTATACAGTTCAGCATAATATATACTTCCGACTTCTTTGTAAATACGTACATGATAACTAGAAACATGACTCTTATGCTGGATCCACAAAATCTCCATGAAGTCTCTCTCATACATTATCCATGACCAGCATCAAATATTTTTTATTTCTGCTTATTAGTGCGTCTATTGAGTTTTTGTGGTTGTCTCCCATAGTCCCGTTTTGATTCCAGATTAGGTTTATGGGACTATTTGCCAATCTTTACATCTCAATCCAATCCAAACCCAATAAATTGATTGGTGAGCGTTTTGTAATATACGATATGACCTCCTCCGTTATGGTCATTGCAGTGACTTTACAATGTATTTCACCAACAATATCTAGCTTTCTACCCAAAGCACTATGGGCTGACTGTTGAGCTGAACAGACTTGGGTCTTCAAACATCCCACTATGTTCTGGTGTGTTATGTCGGAAGCTGTGTTCACTTGTATTGCACCCATTAATCATGAAACATATTTTCCACGGTTGTACGAGCCGATTAGCTCAAGTGCTTCAAACGTACCCGTTCACCCTCAATTTGATACGGATTCTCATTGGGATTTCTTACTGCACACGATTTTATATGCTACAAGGCAGTTTATTCCTCAAATGGTTCCCAAAATCTACAAGCAACCTACAGTCATCAAGAACCGAACTTTTCGATTGCTAAGCCGCAAAAGACACTGTTGCACGGAATACGAACGAACTGGTAACAACGGCGCATACACGCAATACAAGCATATAAGTAAAATATGCACTAAGGCAAAAAGAGAAGACAGGCTTCAATAATAGATAAAGCTTATCGATAAATGTGTCTTCAATCCGAAAAGCTTATTCCGTTATGCAGTCTCTCTTCGATAAGCCGAAACTGGAGTTTCCCAACTACTAAGTCCTAATGGCCCGACCAATAACGACGGGGACGCCGCTAACTTTCTAGCCGAACAATACTCTCGGACATTTCAACCGACCCACATTAACCGTATTGACGAAAGCTTTATCTGCAACTGCAAAGGACTTTTCGAAGTGAACCTGAACGTTACTTGGTGTACAGGAAACTGCAACATCTAAAAATCAGACACTTCTCTTGGCTCGGATATGGTCCATTCTGACATACTGAGGGAAGCAGTTTCAATCTTGACAACACCGCCTAGCGTGATGTTCCCACACTCGTTAAGCCGAGGCACATTATCGGAAATTTGGAATCTGGCTCACACCACACCAATTTTCAAAGGAGGTGGACGCAGCGAACCGTCAAGCTACCGATCGGTGGCTCTTTTCTCTAAACTATGAAGATTACTCTTTTATGATATCCTCAATATCTGGATAACTGGTCATAGTTCATAAGCGCGTAATTTTGATGTACTCAACAATACAATTAGATTTGATCAACTAAGTGTAATTTAATATCATATGAAATTTCACTAATCAATCGGTATCTAATTAATTGAGATGTCTTATAATAAAAAACAATAAAGTTCATCATTAATCATTGTACTGAGTAAAAAACTATTTATCATATGACAACACTATCATAGGACTAACAATCAATTGATAATGGTTCATTCGACAATCGACGGATATGTCATCAGTTATACGATTCATTTGATAAAACTTAATTATTTCTATTATTCATCCTCTATAGCTAACTACTAAACTCTCAATTTTAAAGATTTGGATCAGTTAACTGTACGTATAAGATAATATGTAAAATATAGTATTAATCAGCATAAATCACCGATTGTTTTTACAAAGCATAACAAAATTACCTCTGCGGAAATATTTTATGCCTCACGTTAATTTAACTATCTAATTAAATCAGTAGATTAGATAACAACTTAACACTTGCATCACAGCAAACCTATCATATTAAATTTTGCTGTGGTTGTAGATTACTTTGTAATAGCACTGGGAATGACTTTTTGCATAACATTAATACACCAATAGAATGTTATGATCTCCCTGATAAGAACTCATGGTTCCCAACTGTTGCCTTTCATTGTTGTAATCCTCCTAAAACAACTAATGGATCATATCATTCCAAAGAATTTGACCAAATATCTCTGGCTATTACATGTAATACTGTTTTTTTGTATTAATCTGGTAATGTCTGTAAACTGGTATGCACTCAATAATTATATCGGGAATATATTGATTTCTATTTTGTATAGAATCTTTTTTTAAATTTGCACTCTAGAAACGCATAAGCTCATCAATCACAATTGAAAACATATGATAGAGAAAGCCAAGAAATCATCTTGTAGCATGTTATTACATATACAATTTATATAGAATTGGTGGTTTATTAATGAAACCAATCAGATTTCAACCAGTAGGTTGTACGTTCGAATCCCATCCTACCTACTTTGAATTAGGTAACCAGATAGTACTTGGTGATTCAGTTATTATTATTTAAAGAAACACTTGATTTCCTACCCTATCACATCATAAATTTGGATGCGATTCCAACGATTTCGCATGCAGGTAACCAAATAACAAGACATTTTCTTTACACATAAAATATAGTTCAAAATTGAACTAGGTCATAAACATATTTACATGGCGAATCACTTATAATATCAATATTGAGCTTATCAGAAGTGCTGACTAACTAATTCCACTTAAATACCTAAATAATTAATTTATTTAGCAAGGGGATAAAAGCAGTAGTAATTTTAATCAATTTATTAATTTAGTTATGATAAAACGTATTAAACAAATGAGAAACATGAAAAAATCCCTTTCAATTAAAAAAAAAGACAAGATGAGGAACAATGAATTATTGTCTAATCAGTTCTTTTTTAGAAAAAAACTGTTTTCATCTTGTACAACTATTACCAAATAGAATGTAATAAACAATTGTATTCTGTATAAATACTGATGGTATCTTTAGAAGAAAATCATTCAATGTGCAGAGTTTGTGTGTTGTTTCTTTCCTTACAAATAAGTTAGTTCAAATTTATTTATTTGTTTGCTTCTTTTTGATGAAATCTTCTACTAACAAACTCCTACACCTTCCCGAAAAAAAACTTACATACAGAGAGAAATTTACACGGAAAAATTTAATGAAAACTAATAGTATTACTTTAAAGACTTTTTAATCCAAAAAATATGGAAATATAAAGAAGATAACTTCTTATGTTGGTTAAAAATAAAAAAACCCAGCAGAATTAATTATATATAATTTCAGAAAGGTGAAGCAAGTAGAAAAAAGAAAAAATTGACAACAGTAAGAATATAAACATAAGCCAAAAAGAGGAATTCAGATGATAAACATATACATAGACCTATACAGCGAAACGAAGAACAGTATAAAATTAAATTATGAGCGATACACACAAACAAACAAAGAAGAAAATTGAATCATAAATACATAAAAGGAAATCAAGTACACACATGTACAAACATGCATCTACTATTAATCACTTACATGTTGTGTATGTGAAGTCTATCAAATATATGCTAACAACAGCGACAATATAAGTAGGAAAAATGAATTCGAAAATCAACAGAACACTAAGCTAAAAATTCCTAAACGCAGATAAAAATGAAGACAACACTAAATGGTTTTGTTAACATGTGTGAGAAAATAAATTCAACAATAAATGGACACTATATTTTGTTTTAATAAAAGGAAGAATGGAATTTGAATAGATTAACACGAAATATAATATACAGATCGTTTTTTGGTGATATTTACTAATCACAATCATGGGTCAGAGAGAATAGCAGGAAAAGAGGGAGGAAGAGGAAAGAAACTGATGACCAAATATTAATATGTGATTATGATGATTAACACAAAAGCAATTAATTAGTGCATAATATTATTGGGAATGAATCTTTATTAATTTTTTTTGTTTCCAATGGTGTACAAAAGGAACAAGAGCAATTTTATTCTGTATGCGTAGTAATTCTTGTGTAAAGGAGTTGAAGGATTGTTATGATTCATGAAACTACAACGACTATTATGATTACCAACACTATACTACTCATAGGCATCATATGGATAAACAGATAATTGTTGATAACGTGAATGGGAATTCCGTGCGCTAGATCCATTGGATTGACTTTTCACTACAATAAAATGAAATGGCGATTTGGAAAAATAATAAATAAAATAGTCAGCATTTTGCTATTAGCAAATTAAAAACATTATTATGATTAACAATTGCGTTAAATTAAACAAATAAAACACTACTTTCGGTTTGAACTTGTTCATGGAAAACGTTTATGATCCCAAGAACTATTGATTTCGCAAGAAACTCTAATCTGGTGTATCTAGTGGTTGATATTAGTCATTTCATGGACTCAAAGTTATTCAAAAAGTCTTGTCGAACTTATTCAGAAATCATCTCATACACAAACTAGACTTCAATTAGAATATACACAAATAAGCTTAGTTTTATTGTACATAAAAAAATTTGTGCAGCCTTTTTATGTATCCTAGTCTTTCACTTAATTACGCCTTATAAAATTTATTTAACATTATTTTCTAACTTTATTCTTACGTACTGTGTTTTGTCAATCTGATTAATGAAATCTTTTGGGACCCACTTTTAATTATTTCTAAACGTTTCAATAAATACTTATGTTCGTTTAAATTCCAACTTACCTGGTTTCTATGCTTATTCTTACGTAGTTAGTTGCAATAATTAATCGACTATGTAATCGAGTTTTAGTTTTAATTTCGCGTTTATTGAGCTACTACTAAATTAACATTGAGATGTAGAGTTAAGTTGGTCAACCAAAATTTATACTTAAATATAAACGCATATATTAGCGTAGAATTATGAGGAGGAATCAAATGAGAAGAAATATATCTTCATTCAAGTTGTATTTTAATTTCATAGCTACCAGTGACAGATATTACGTAATTAATATTATACGGAACTAATGATAATACATTTTCAGCATTTAATCGTATAAAACATGTGTTGTTGTGGATTTGACTATGTTATAGTGAATATGAATATTATAAATACTTGGTATTCATATAAATCATCAAGAAAATTAGTAGGTGATATTACATGAAAATGATGTTTTCGTGAATATAACTATTTGCAGGGATGTCAAATTAACTTGGTTAAATTATCAAAATGCTTCATTACTATCAGGTTAAAAAAGACATTACGTTGCAAGGAGTAAGTAAGCACGTATGAAGCAGTTAAAAATATACCCACAAATTTCGTCAAAGTAATATTCGTCTACATAAGGATTAGGAAAAGACAAAAGCTAAAGCATTTTAGTGCATTGTGTAGTAAAAACATACAAACAAAGTAAGAATCAAAGAACTTTGAAAGAAATTTTAAGAAAATCATTGCTGATGAACGAACAGAGATATACAAAACTGGACAACTACTAGTGAGGAATAAAAGTTAAATAACATTGATTTGGTTGATAAATGATACGTTAATGAAAAGTAAAACGGTCACCAATATTTAACATAAGATTCGACCACATGATTAGCAAACCCAGTAATTAAAATTGTCAACGTTATGGACTGTTTCTCTTCATTTTATTTCCTTAATCAGTCCAAGTGAACATGGGTTTAAAACATTGTCCTTAGCATAACTAGTTTATATTTGAAAAGCGTAAGAATATTTTTACCAATTCTATTATATTTTAGGCAGTGAACATAAACACACCAAGTAATGAGTAAATCTGTAAGTGGAAAAGCCGTGCAAAGCTAGTTAGTTAATTTTCATTATTAAAACACTGTATAAGAAAACAGGAAAAAATCATTTTAAACTCTACACTTAGAGTTGAAGGGTCTTCATTTAGAACAGTCATGACGCCTTATGCTAAAAGCAGATATAATTCGGAAGTAACCCGGCCGATTCCTCTTTTTGACTAATACAGCAAAAATTGATGTAGGTAATGGAATGCCCACACAATGTGAGAGATCAGGAGGATCACTCAAGTAACTGCGGAAATGAGAAGACAAAACCTCTCTCTAATTAAGTTAAGTGAAACCCCAGCCCTACTGAACCCACTGGACATCGAAGCAGCACACAAAGACCTTCCCATAGATGACACTCCACCCACCATCGAAGAAATCATTAAGGATCGATCATGCACAGACCGAATCACGACATTACATATCATCGTTGAGCAAGCAACGGAATAGAATCCGTCACTATACATCAACTTCCTTGACTATGAGAAAGCATTTTACAGTATGGATAGGAGAACCTTATGGAATCTTCGACCCCGGTGTACCTGCGATCATCGACATCAAATGTAATTCCTACGACGGACCACAGTGCAAGGTCGTGCACGGAAGGCAGCTTATAGATGCATTACAAGTGTAGACTAGTGTTAAACGAGGCTGCTTACTCTTGCTTTCTTTCCTCCTTCTGCTGGCTGATTGAATTATGAAGACCTCCACATCTCAGAGGCAACATGGAATACAATATACAGCTTGGATACAGCTACATAATTTCAAATTAACAGACGACTTAAACCTCCGATCGCATACACGGCAATAAATGCAAGTGAAGACAGCCAGAGCAGCAGCAGTAGGCCTCAACATTAACGAGGAAAAAGCAAAATCCTGAAAATATCATGCAGCCAGCATCGACCTAATCACACTTGATGGTGAAGCTCTGAAAGAGATAAAAGCCTCTAAATACCACGGGAGTATCATCGATAAGTAAGGGAAATTTAATGCAGATATGGAGGGCAGCATTTCTACAAAAAAAGAACGCCTGGAAATCAAAACAAGTGTCCGCCAACTTCAAGTCAGAATTTTCAAAAATAATGTTAAAACAGTTCTATAGTAAGGAGCTAAAATTAGGAGAATCATCATCAAAAGTGTACAGGTATTCATAAACAACTGTCTACACAAGATACTCGAGATCTATTGATCAGACACTATCAGCCATAACCTACTATGACGGAGAATAAACCAGCTGGAAATACTTTTGAGGTGGATAGAAAACACTGTGGAAATCATCAAACTTCATCCCGAGGCAAGCCATAACTTGAAATACTCAAGGTAAAAACCAAAGGAAATACTGCACCGGTAACTGGAGGCAGAAATCAAACAAGTAAGTACTATTTGTCAACAACTGGAAAGAAAATCCCAGAATAGAATTAATTGGTGGTTTCTGGTCTACAGCTTATAGGCCAGGAAGGGTAACAGACGTACGTAAAGTAAGTGATACGAATTGTTAGGAGAAAAAACACGAAAGTGTTTCGAGCTACGTTGAAAATGAGCTACTACATTAAATAAGTGTTTATTGCTACCAGCCACAAGATGAAAGTGGAAAGAAATTAAAAGCTCATTATATCCATAATTTTGAGACGTTAAATTATATTCGAAATAAAAAGTGGCAAACTGAAAATTTGTATGATAAAGTTCAAGAGGAAGCAAAAACTCCCTCGCTTGTGAAGGATTATACGCCGTTAAATTTTACTGACAAACTAATATTACCATTTGTTTTGATATTTGTATGGGAGCAGGAATGTCAAACAATCAGATTCCTATTTTATGACTTAAAAGTATCTAGCCCCCCTCCCGGTACGGCCGAGGGTGGGCAAAGTCAGCTCTTCTACTCGAAATGCTCTCACATGACCACGTACATAAAATCACTGCCAGGGAAGTCCTACCCACTACCTTACCGCGGTGGGGCTGTTGTTTACGAAATTGAGAGGACGAAAAGCGAATGACCGGCGCTATAACCGGTTCAGTGGATATGGGGAACCCACCAAGGGAAGTTGGAAAACCCTGATTCCAAACCAATGGTGTGCATGGGCCCCAGTTTAAATTAGTAAGTGACAAACATTCACTTGAAGCATTATTACAATTCTCAAATGATGTAGTTCATGACTAGCGAATCATAGTATTTACATTATATCTATGAACGATAACATTTTTAATCAACATTTAGGAATATGAACTATCGTATTTTGTTATCAGATGAAAGATATGTTAGCTTATAGCTTTAAATGAAGTGATGATAATTACTGTGACATTATGAAATGATAATTCCTATATGTTAATAACGTCTGAAAATGAAGCACAGTACTGATGCTCTAAAATCCTATCGGAATACAAAAGGTTCACAATTAATCTAAGATCATCATACAATATGTAAATCATAGTTCGACGTGCAGACTTTAGCCTGAATGTTGAGTTGTACTACTCACAATGTATTAACCATCACATACATATGATTAACTATGCCCGCCATATACTGAGGAAAGTATTAAACTGCCTCGTTCTACTTGTTATCAGTTATTTGACTGTTTTAAGAAAATCATAAATGAACGGTAGCTGGTAGATAGATGGATCGTTATGATACATAAACATACATAGTTGAGCGATAAACGGGAAACAATTTGGAGAACATATGGTAAGCCATTGGTAATTATGTAAACCCACAATATGTAGCAAATACCTGAGCGTTAAATACAGCTGTTTGGGCATACAGGCAAACCAATTAGGCGTATTGTAACAAAAAGAGATTTGCTAACTTCGTAAGAAAATAACATTAGTTGTTTATAGTTAATTGTTTACATCACCATAAAAAAGTAAAGTTAATACACTCGGAAGGTGAGGGTGCATAGCTGATACCAAAGAAAAACACTACATTTCGTTTTTGTAAAAATATGAACTTCTCGAAACTATTGTGTACCTTTTATGCTCCTGGATTCGGAACAGCCACATAACCTATACAGATGATAAAAAATGTAAATGACTCTGTGATTATAAAAGTACGGAGAAATTGAATGATCGAAAATGATAGTGATAATATAATACAGAAGCAACTTGAAGAAAAATAAAAGAGAACACAGGTATGCCAGTGAGTTAGTGTAAAAATACGGAGTGAACAGTCGGTGCGTAAAAGATTGAAATCGGTGAGATGACGGGAACATAATTAGCGTCAGAATTTTATATATATATATATATATATATATATATATATATATATATATATTGAAGGATTACAGTAGAGAGAAATAAAGTGAGTTGGTTAATCAATTAGAAATTCAATGGGAATGTTATATTGCCAAAAAACTAAAGCATTCATAAACAAGTAACGTCCGTATTCAGCTGTTAAATGCATCCATACACACGCATACAAACGAAGAAAATTACTGGAAAGTAATATGAATATATATGCAGCTTATGACGATGGATATTCTTTGAAAAATAAGACAGGGATGAAAAAATCCTGAAGACTTCCTGTTTATGGGTAGAAATTGATTGCCAACCAAATTCAAATGTTAATTTAGGCTTCTCAAAACCAACTTTATACACAAAGATACTAACGAGATTGTGTGGAGCCTTTCAAAAATCTGGAAGTTACTACAAGGTGTTCTGATAAAACTCTATAAAACCTGTTCCAGTTACTTTCAAGTATTTAGAAAAATATGTTAATCTAAGTAGGAGAGCAAAGTTATCAAAAAACTGAGCATATACAATAGTCACAAGTTTGTAAACAACTACAATTTACTGTTGCGAGTTATGTTATAAAATAGGAATTAGCAAGCACGCGATGGTCATAGTTGATAAAGTGAGTGAGAAGAATATCGACCGACAGATGAAATGCAATGATAGCTGCTCATAAAACAGAGTTATCAATGTGAGCTCCCAATCAATTGATATCAGAAGAAAAAACACTAGCCCGCAGAATAGGTATTCTCTTCGGTGGAATTACATGCTTATATACACGACATTAACAGAAAAGGACTACCGGTTCCTGCCATCTAGATATATCAACAAGTTTTCTATTTTCGTTTGCTTTAATACTGTTATATCCCGACGAGAATTATGGTAACTTTTGGGAACCATTTATGGACCAATACAATACATATTTTTACTGTATAATTGTTGAGTGGCTAAACTATGCATATTATAAGCTTTATTTTAACTCAGGGACTATTATTATACGATTTACCGCTCTTGAGTTTTACCTGATCTGTCAATTACAGTCTCCCACATTTACAGCCACTTTTGGCTAGATCTTGCAAAAATGTTGTTTCCTATTTTATGGTACGATGTGTTCTGTTTCGTTTGTATATGACTCAGTGTGATTGAAATAAATGATTCATATCGCAGAGGCTGAGATTGGTATTCTGGACTTAACAGACAGGGCTAGGCAGGAAGAAGGACCGATAAGGAATCTAGACTGCTCGTACGGGTTTACGAGTCATTGGTTCGGTCAATAAATTTCCTTGCTCTAATTTGTGGTATCATTAAGTTAGAACTTAATAGAGCACAAGTTATAACAAATACATCATTATGCCTATTATTCGCATAACCTATTCAGGTGCGTTTCTTAAAAGTGTACGATCTTTCGTTGTACAAGTTACAACCTAATTGGCGATCACTTAATATTTATCGTCAGTATCGACCAAGAAGTAAGAAACAGAAACTTGTTTGAATACTTTGTACTGAGAATTCTGTATTGTACCAAAAATATAATGTTGAATAAAGCTAATAAAAACAAACTTCACATAAAAAACATAATTATATGTCAGAGCACACTGAAGGAAGTCAACTGAATTAGAACCTCGGTGTAGGACTTAATACTTGTGCCGCCTATGACCTCTCCCCGACAAAATGATCTGGGGTCCTTTATTCCCAACGCTGGTAAAACGGTGATAGGTTTGTGTTATTTCATGTGATCCTCCACTTTTCACTGAAATTATTTTTCTGCAGCTGCACTATTCACATTAAATTCAAATCATTTGTTAGTCACTCTTTGATTATAGATTGAGCACAAATAAACCATTTTACTTTCTCCTCTTGCTTAAGGCAGAAAATGTATTACGTGATTTGAAGTGTAAAGGTAATTTGTGCCAAAATTACTTTTGTGCTGCAATTGAGACTGTCAGTGGTTCGCATAAGCTTGTTTGGTGCCTTGTTGGGGTTGATCAGTTGAACATGCTGCAAACACGACTGAGGAATTATATTTAAAGTTTTTAGAGATCAAGTCGAATAATTGTCTACAAATACAGGTTGCATTGCCTTAGATGAATTTGAATCAGCACGTACTTCAAGACTTTTTAATAAGATGAAACTTATTTTAACGCTGTAGAGTGTTGATTAACTCCACTTAACTAACAAAAACGAAGTTGACAGATTCGGCAACCTCGAAGTATTATTAACGCTTAAACAAAATATTATAGCTTGGAGTTAACTAAACAAACAGATACTTGGATACTAAGTTTCGACAGATATTTATACTTTATAAATGAGAAGTTATTAGACAAAGGTGGTAGTAAGACACTAACTGATCGCCAGCAAGTTAGAAAAGAAATAACAGATATCATAAAAGATATACCGAGTGAGGAGTGAATAAAGTCGTAATAGTGATACATTCTTTCAGTGAGTATTAGTTAAGTGTTACCAAAAAGAGATAAGATTATCTAGTTTTCTATTATTACATGTTAGTTCTTTTTTTAAAGGATAACCACTATGAAATTCGCTAATTTATATTTCCGCAATAAGATTTGTTGCTACCTGATTGATTGTCATCACGTCTAGTTTGGTTTGTTAAGTACCTCAAGATTATTGAATGCTACTGAATAGATAGAGTTGTTCCACTTTGAATTTTACATATGCACGGAACATAAAGTTATCCTGAAAGTTCCATTTCCTCTTTAAGCCTGTGGATAATTAATGTTGATATGTTGTTATGTGACAGACATTCGATTTATTCGAGCACATATTCTTTGATTCGTATTACAAAAATTCTTAATTATTCAGAAACAGAATTTGCTGTAGGGAAACCAAAAATGACATTCAACAAGTGTGCAACTGAAGATGTGTCGTTATTAACACTGCACATACAAGGGTGTTATGGTTGGTATGGAGTGTAAAAGGAAAAAATTGTTAAGGTATTAAATACTACTACTACTAAGACGAAGACTAACTATTGAAAATATTCATATTATTTCTTATTGACTTCCTAACTATATTTGTTTTTCAAATGTCATTATTATCTTTAACTTATTTGAATATTTCCTACAGAACATAGAACGTTTTATTTCACAAGATGATGAATTTATTTGACGTAATCCTCTTAAAGTAATATAAAATTCAATAGTATATTTTAAGGAAGAATAACATTTACAACATACTTGATTCAGTATCTAAACTTATGTTATGAGGAGAGTTTTCTTCATTAACTAAAACAACATATAATTGTATTTAAAACTTCAGATAAATTAGATAAAACCCAGAGATAAATACATAGTGATACGAATTAAATTATGTAACCATATAAATTTTTTTCGAAGATGTATTTTATATTAGATAGTAAATTCAATTACAGAACAAGAAAAAAGCATTATAATAAGTCAGTTCACTAGAATATTATTAGTACACAATTAACACGCTCTTACTATAAATATTAGGAACATACTAGTGTTATTTAACTTATTTACCAGGTACCATATTAGTGTACTTGGCTTTTGTTGCTACAAAATTGAACAAAATGAAGTAGACGAAGAGAGATTTAAACTTGAACCAGAATGACTAGAAAATATTGGATCGATTTTGTGCCTGTCGATCTACAACTATTATTTAACTTAGCCGGACAGAAATTTGTCTTTTTTCTGGCTTAAAAACACAAATATACGCGTAATTGATACATAGAAATGTTGATATACATAAATACTAACAATTTCAGTCAAAAATTTATAAATAACACTTAAACTGCACTGGATACAAAATTTTAAAAAAATATGTAAGTGTGAGCAAAACTGAAAAGTGAAAAACCAGCACAATCATGGTCGACATTACCAAATATTTTACTATGTTCAACCCACTCCCCGTCATCCTCTACAAGCATAACGTATATGGAACGAAAATCATATCAGTATAGTTTCGGGAAAAACAACCAAAACAACTAATTGCTTTAAAAACAACCATGTTGGAAAAGTGATAAGATTAAAATGAAAATCAATGACAATGACAGTTAAAGTAGTAAGATAATATAACAAGAATAACGAAAAACAACATTCACAGACATGTGTAAATATGTCTACACTGGACACATATATAACATTGATATACATTTATGTAAAACAAATAAAAGACGGGACATTCCCGAGTTGAATATGACAGCATGCAATAGAAAACAGTGTGTATACTATAAATCAAAAACGGGGAAAAATAGAAGAGAAATTAATGACTCATTCATACCTTTATGTTTACGAGATTTGTTTCGGGTTTCCTTTATTGAAAATAGGAATAATAGTGATTAAAATAATGATCGCAATCATAATAACAATAATAATATTGATAAAAAAAATATTGGAGAATTGTCAATTTGCAACATGTATATATATATATATATATATACTGATGATTCAATATGCGTATAAGTATTACCTTATCTTTAATTATATAATGAATAATAAGACAAAGACCAAGTCAAAAATGAGCATAATAATGGAAATAATGAATCAAGAAGTTTTTCATTAACTTTATCACTGCATCCGTAACACACACATACACACTAAACCGATAATATTGAATAAGTTGGTAAATAAAGTATAAACGTCAATAAACAAGTAGCTACGGATAGATAGACAGACAGATGAACAGAGAATACAGATCAATAAATTTTTAGCATGTTACTTTTAATGTTAAAATATTTTCACGTTCAGCTGAAATGTTATTTTCAGGTTATCTGGTAGTAATCACTAACGCGACATATAGACATGTGATGTTACCGTATTAACCAATTTCAAGTATAGACGTCAACAAAAGTTTAAGACACAACAGGTCTATTTATTTATAACACTAAGCTGAATAGCTTAAAGAAACTCGTTGATATATAGAAGTCATGACGGGCAGACATGTCAATTCTAAAGTTATTTTACATATCGAGTTCCATGCCACAAAATGGTCACCTATTCACTTTTACCACAACACCTTAATGTGGGAAAATAATTCATAGTAAGTGTTATATCCGAACGAAGAATAAATGAATGGTAACTGATAAGGATTATTTAGGGACTATTATTACATATATTCTTGTTGGGTGACTATTAATTAACTAGATATGTATAATCATTTTCCTTTTATCATAAGCTTTCATATGACCGATTGGCTACTGTTATACGATTTGCCATTCTTAATCTATTCCCAGTTTATTAGCTACAGTCTCCTAAACTCATAGCCACTTCTGGCTCAATCCTATAAAGCTATTATTTTGCATTTTATGGTGTGACGCTGTCTAGTCTGCTTGTATATAAACCAAGTACGTCTGAAATATACGATTTATACAGTGGAGGCTGAGATTGTGTTCTGGACTCAACGGGCAGGGCTAAGCGAGAAATTACTATTTCGAGGACCAATAAGGATTTAGTGCTGGTTGATGTATCACTGGTTTAGCATAGGGACATGCAAGCCGGTATTCTGGTTGGCGATTTTATCACGTGATAATTGACAGGGGCAGAAGTCATAACAGCAAGAGAGCCACTGAGATAAGATTTGCAAAACGTGGTCGAGAGTGGCGTGTAGACTGACCTTGTCCACAGTAGAACCACCACTACTTATACAGACACATGCACTCCTTGACTATTTTCAACAACTAACCGAATAAAGTGAATGTTAGAACCTGCCAGTTTAAGAAGTAATCCGCATTTAGATAGTGCTGCATCAAACATACAAACATTGATTAGGAGAAATTGGGGTTCGATTTCACAAAGAAACCATATCATCTTTGTACTCAATGTTGCAATTTTTTGCTCCAGATAGTAAAGTAGATTTTACCCGGAGATATAATATTTATGGTGCCAAAAGCTCGAATACAAATTCTTTCAAGGGTATCAACAATAAATCAGTACCATTGATGATGAGATATTAAATAACACTTAACTACTATTATTATATGTTCGTGTTATAAATGTCAGCAAAGAAAACCTATGGACAGAATATAAGAACAATATAAAAAGTATAAATTCATAAAGAATAATGTTACACAGCTGTGTTGTTGGCAAAAATTGATTTAAAAAACATTGGAAGAAATAATGACAATGAGAATAACAACAGCAACAAAACAAATGACTACAAGATTATTCATTCATTTTTACTAACACATTTGTAGTATTTAATATTAAACCTTTTCACATTGAAATGAAAAGTTTTCCTGAAAAAAAAGACTTCAGATAATCAAAAATCCCAACGATGAATAAGAAAATCAAGCAAAAATAGTTTTTGAATCTCCTTTCTTTTCTCTGTCACACATTCTCTTTTTCCGTGTCTCTCACTTTTCTGAAAGATGAAAAGTTCATTCCTACTGATAGAAGATATACATATTTTGTCAGACTGTTTGGTAAGTCAGTAATTAGTAATATGGGATAGATTAAAAAAAGACACAACTATTTGAAAGACATTTTAACAAAATTAATATACAGCGCTGAAGGTAATTATTATGTGAAAGAATAAAACAGAAATATTTGTCAGCACCATATTCAATTTTAGTGACATGTATATTCTGTTCGAACCCCTACCCCACCCAACACCGCCCGTTATACTGTTAGTTTATTGAAACAGTTACTCGACAAGGCATCAAAACTTAACGACTAAAGTTTGAAAAGCAAGATAGACCTACTACAAGTGCAGATCGGTGGTTTCTGCTGCAACATCATAGTGAAATAAAGAGATAATAGTAAAAAAGTGAAAATATCACGATGATTAGCGAGTTGAAAATCATATGCATCAGAAGAAAAAAACAAAAGAAATCAAAGAATAAAAATAAGGAACAAGGCTCAAGATTTAGATGAAGATAAAGGATGAATGAAATCGAGACAGTGTCAGCCTTAAAGCAGATTACTTAACGCAGATGATTCAAATCAAAGTTAACGACAAGCTGTGATCTAAATATGAACGTTCCAATAAAGGGCCTTTAGTAGGATGATTTATACCCCGCAGAACGTCTTCAAATAACAGAGTGTAACAGGAAATAATAAATGAATTTAAACTAAGAACAATTATTTTAAATATTTTAAGTCATAAAATTCATCAAAATATTGGAAGCTCAAACATTAATTGAAAATATACTGAAATATCATTTCATTTCATTGTAAGTCCTCATACATTATAGTTTTAGCAAGGTACAAGTTACTCGACTATGATACATCATAAATGTAATCCGAAAAGAGTCATATAAATTATCACTAATCACTTTGGATTTATCAAACACAAAAAACACTAACTATCAAATGAACTTGGTATGAAAGTATGAATCTTATGTGAAAAAGGTAATTACAAACATTCATGAAATTATATAGTCTATAATGTAGCACAATCGGGAAATATCACTTCTTAAAATGAATGAAATTATTACACAAACTAATACATTTTTTTATTAGTTATAAATGCCACTTTTATCAGTCTGATCATCAATCTCTACAACAGACATTCATATATATATATGCGAGTAATTCAATTTGATATAGATAAGATATATTAAGTAACTTACTGTGAATTGTCCTGATAATCTGTTGGTGGTCTCATATAGAAGCCATGATATGATATGTAATCCCTGAAAGTAAATAAATAGATAAAAAGACAATGAGAGTAATGTTTATGGTAAATATTTGCAATTACAGAAACAATTTATTGAAACTATGATGAAAAAAAAATGGGAGTGAATTTCAATTAAATAAAAATTTAACTATTATTTGCTTTCTCTCTATCTCTAAATTACAGTTTATCTATAAAACGTTTGTTTTAAGAATTTACAGAATAAAACGTTGAAGATATATACATATTTAGACATTTATCAGTATAATTTTCATCTTGCAAATTTTAATAGACACGTGTTTAATGAAAACTGATGTTAAACAAGTGCATAGTACAATAAATACACATATGACTAACCTAACTGAAAGACAATGAACTTGTTATAGTACATATGATACATAAATTAAACAAAAAGAGCGTTGATAGAGAAATACCACAAATTTATCTAGTAGCTATGCTTAATTAGTAAAATGTTTACAGAAAACAAATCTAAAATACTATTACATATATGAGCTGAAATGATGGTGATTAGCAGTGGAATTCAGGACGTGAGTTTCGTCCTATCCGGGACTCGTCAGCCGGAAGTACCTGCATCTCAGAGTTGATATTCACTCCAGGACTAAAAGACTCAAGTAACCAATACAAAAAAGAATTATTACATATACGGTCTTCAAAATCTGCCTAATTAATACAACTGGTCTCGTTTTCTTACTGATAAAATGAGTTTTTCATTTGACGAATACATCGAAGTAACTTAAAGATAATTATCATCAACTTTTGTCAATGAAAGCAGAAAACACTTTTGGATGCTTTTTATATTCCTTAAATAAGTGAGAAAAAAAGAGAGATGAATTCACCATAAGCAAATATTACAACGGAGGGTGACTTGTGACATCGATTAGACCCATATGATTAGTTTCAAGGGTAACCCATTTTTAATGACTGTTTACTGAGAACATGAAGTTTGTGTCTATTAACTATTGTAATCCAAACTATGTTACTTTACCAGGTATAGATTAATGCACTCAGTTAAGAACGATACTCCAAATGTAAAGGCTATTTAGCCTAATTAAAACAGATGGGACATGATTCAAACCTAGGATTTAGTATCTAGATAACAAACGCTTCAACTAATGAGACATTGCTCCACTAATAACACCCTGTTTGTTTATTCGTATAATAATCAATAAAACTACGTTATTAGCGTGAAATTTACACTAGAAACAAGCCTAAAAATGTGAAAAGAATGTGAAAGTATCATATAGATTTATTGACATCCTACACTGGTAGCTCGTGTAGATAAAGTATACGTCAAATCAAAATTAATAACTTGAAATCTGTACACTTAAATGAAAATCTATACGCTTATATTGACTCACGATTCTGCCAACCTTAAGGTCAAATAATGAAAGAAATATCTAGTAAGATTTATAATTCAACAACAACATTATTATTAATGCATCTATTTATATTGACGAGAAACTATTAGATGAAAAATGAAACGTTGCAACTACATTAAAAATTATTTTAAATAACATAGATCAACATTTTGGAAAATAACTATTTTTCAGTTGTGCTTAATGAGTCACACCATATGTAACATAATGATATAAATTGATTATTACTTATTAGCTAGATGATTGTGCCGAATCAGACCTTATCATTGCACTGTTTGCAACACCTTATCTCAGTATGCCAACCTGTAGAAACTAAGTCATTTAAATAATTTTCATTTATTATTTACTCAATAATCAATAACACACACTACTACTACTATTTAAACTGACAATCTTGACGTTACTAAATGTCAATAAGAGCGAATATTATTGTTTTAATATGTTCGAGTGTCAAAGAAAAATATGATGTATGAATCTTGTTTGCTTCGTTTCTTTAATGTTATTTATTTTGATCTAAATAGCCAATTGGTAGTTTAACCATAACAATGTAAATTAGACATGACATAAAAATATATGGGAGAAAGATATACAAATTTATTTATACATAAGAAATGAACAACTAGACATAATGCATTATTTGTAATGCTTTGACCCTTACAGTGGTATTTAGTAAATGCATACGTGTAAAAAGTGAAGAAAAAATACTAAAGAGAGTAAGAACGAAGATTCGTGCAGGATAATATGAGTTCATCTTATTTCGTTAGGTTCTCATCAGCCACTTACAACCAATAATATTTTAAAATCAGATATTCACATACAAGTACGAAGGCGATTAGAGATGAACATTTGTACCATGATGTAGGAAGGATTCCAATGGGGTTAATAATATCATGAAATTCTTTTTGTTTCGGATAGATAAATAAAGTTAATCTATATTCAGTTACTTCAATACACAATCATCTAATATCTGATAACTCTATGAGTTATGATCTCCAGTTCAATGTTCAGGAATTTTTCCTCTCACACTTAATCCATCCGAAACAAAAAATTTCATGACATTATTAACTCCATTAGAATTCTCGCAACAATATGATACACATATTCATCTCTAATCACCTTCATACTTGTACGTATGTCAATATCTGTAATAACGTTGATTTTTAATATCATAGGTTGGGAAGAGCATATGAGAACCTAACGAAATAAGATGAACTCATATTATTCTGCACCAATCTTTGTTTTTGCTGTCTTTAAAACAATAAAGGGAACTATACGTATGAAAAAAATTAAATTGTAATATGATAAGAATACAATTTTGTGATAAGTCACAATGAAAAAACAGATCTACAAATAGGTATATACTCACGGTTCTTCGTAATCGTGACTATATTTCTCTGTTTTGCGATATAAACCAGCCAGTTTAACAGCGAAAATAATAGCGGGAATGAAAAGAAGTAGTGTAAATCCTAATCCAGTCCAAAATGCATTCTGAAGAATCAAAGACAAGAAAACAAATATTTATTTCCTGTAACAAAAGATCTACACATATTTACACATATAATAGTTACTGTTGAAGGAAATCTGAAAAAAGTACATTATTGTGATGTTGAATTAATTAGACTAATTGGACCAATATGATCGATAGAAATCAACCAGCACTAAGAATTGGACTAATCTGATATTAGTTAGACAACGATGTGTTCATTTATCAGGACAGTCATATTTATGAACTTAATTATTGTGGATAGTAATAGTTTCAGCGATAGTCAAGGCAATATACATACAAATAATAATAAACACTGAAATCTAGACACTCATCAGATGAATAGGGTAATAATACAAACGATCACTACGAAATACACAGATAAATGTACACTTACAAATGGCATTAAAAATGTATAACAAACTGAATCGACTCCACGTTTGGCAGCTAAACGAAGTGACTGACACGGAATATCATGCCAAGTGGCTATAACAGCCAATTGTAATTCTTTAGTTAAAAGTGGATGGAATCTGTTAACTCCACGATTCATAGACTGAAAAAATAATGTGTTTTTTTTTATTAAAAAAATGCATGAACAATCAACGAATTAGTAGTGAGCTAAATAATACAAATTAGAATATTAAAACAATGAGAATGATAAAATTATTTCAATACATTTGTTTGTCTTGTTTTCTAGTTCTCTAATCTGTAAATGTTAACATTGACTGGTACCAAATGGGCAAATGTTATAAAAAATATGGTCTTATATAAATATCATGGTTGACTGACCGATATGCACAAAACAAAAACACTGACAAAATGTAATAAACAATTGTAAACCAGTAAGTAAATATTATTTGATTGTTAAGATCTATACAAAACAAAAGTAAATAGTTGAGCATCATGATGATGATCATTATCACTGTGTTATTGAAATGCCACAAAAATAATATACAGACAAAATCGACTCATATAATGTAAACTAGTTACATGAATAATGCATAATGACACACTAAACATGATCGTATCTCGTCATAAATCAGTAGTATGTGTATATTACTAAATTTATTAATCTGAATTACTAGAAAATTCAGAACACTTTCCAGTACACACCAGTAATTGAACAATGGTTAGCTGTTCATAATTGATTACTTGCTTACATCTAATTTGACCTATATGTGTATAAACATTTTTTATGCTTTATCTCTAACATACTCTGACAACAATAACAATAAATAAATAAAAAGTCAAAATAGACTCAGTGACATATTTTCACCAGTAACCGTATCTGAATGACAACGATTATGTATGTACTAGTGGATAAGTTGATATCTGTCCGTAATGAAAAATCGATCAAAATAGCTTAAGTTGAAATGAAAAAATATATATCTACCTTTCAAGTGTACATATGAAGAAAATGCGATCGTATAAATCGATGGTTAAAATATGTTAGACACAACTGAGAATAAACTTTTTAAAAAATCATTCTTTAAAAAATATAGACATTAAAATGTCAGTGTAGGTGGATTATCTTTTAATCGATTAAAAAATTATGTCATAATAAACTAATAATCACTTTCATAATAACAATCTTCTAAATTTGATTACAGGCAATCCTTTCTATCTTTAATACTAGCTAATTCGCATTGATTGATAATCTACCCTTAATTATTAATGTCCCATCGAGAAAACTTACATAGTGTTAGATTTAGTACATAAACCAATTTTCATGCTTTTAAATATCATTGTAATCACTTAACATCATAATTCCTAATCAATATAAATATTACCGTGACCAAATGATGTGTTCTATAGCATTGAGAATATTATTTGAATAAATGATTTCACATTATAGTGCCAAATTTCTTGATATTAAAATTACATACCCTAATCTTCGACGGAGTTAACCAATAAATCTGAGAGACACACTATTCAGTTAGCGTTGTTTGAATAGTAAGTGGAATTGTTTTTCCTCAAGTCAATATGGCTACTAAGTCAAACAAGTATGTTTTTTTCCAAATATTTATTGGTACGAATATGAATAAGTAAATAAATGAAAATCAAGTGAAAAGTTTTTGTGTGTGCATAAATTACACTTACAGACTGGACGGAAGTAGATAATGTTTGATTGTATCTATTAAGATTGTTAATTGCAAGATTCATTTGATCCGGTAAACGATTGAATCGGACAAACAAGGTGTAAATGTTATCACGAGTGGCATCTAATTTCACAGGTCCATTCACAAGAGTTTGAATATGTGGAGCTAAAGATTCCTTTATATTTTCAAAGAAAAAAAGCAGAGAAGTTTACCAGTAAGACAATAACAGAGACATAACATGTAGGCAATAAAATGACTTGAAAGATAACTGTGATAAAATAACCATAACCTACGTAAGAAACCTACATCGAATGTTCAATACGTCATGTGTATTCCGAGTCAATAGATGAATCTCGGAATAGGAGATCAGCCCCTAACTCATTACATGAAGATATTATCTTTAAAATAACGTTTATGTAATGTTGACACATCAACAAGAACCTTGTTACATCGATGCAAAATAAATGGGAAAGTATAACATTTAAGAACGAATAACAAACGCACTTATGAAATCGATGCTACGTATTCTATCAAGTAGTGGAGGAACTTCAGTCAGTCAGTAACAACGTAGAACTTCGTACGTACGTACATCAGTTCGAGTTGCCACACCACATTAGCACAGAGATGCAGTTGTCGATTCAAATCCCGTAGTGGTAGAGGTAATAAGAGTATAAGCAGTAATCGGGAAGATTAGGGTTTGGAGATGTTATTTAAAGAGTATAATCCAGTGAAAGAAATTTGGAAAGAGGAAAAAAAGGGACATGAAGAATTCAGAAGATTAGAATTTGGGAGAACACAGAGAGTGGATGCACCTGCGCCATTGCAAACGATTTTGAGCCATGTCATTCAGGGTCTCTAACCATCGGTTGCTATCATCTCGCGGTCCCCAACCAGGTAGTCTACACCTACCAACATGACTCAGTTCACTTGTCAGTGACTTCATGGACTTGTGCCATGTTTTGGTTTGGCCGCCCCTAGCTTTCTTCCAACCTACTCCTATACCACTGAACATAGCACGTCGAGGCAGTCGGTCGTTGGGCATACGTAACACGTGTCCCAGCCATCTCAACTGATGAAGTTTCACTACTTCATCAATTGATTTGCCATCCTTACCTAGTACCCGTTTCCTAACAACTGTGTTACTTACTCGATGGTCCCATGATATATGAGCAATGTTTCGAAGACACCTATGATCAAATACTAGTAACCTACGGATATCCTCTACTCTTACCGGCCATGTTTCACTCCCATAAAGTAGGACGGAACGAACTGCTGCGCAGTAAACACGTCCTTTGGTTGATAGACGGATATCTCGCCTACGCCATAAATGACGCAAGTTGGCAAAAGCTAGTCGAGCCTTCTGTATCCGTGCTGAGATTTCGTCACACACTAAACCACAAGGGCTGATGAGACTTCCAAGATAAGTGAAGCGGTCGACACACTCAACTACTTCACTCCCTATCACTAGTTCGGGTGTCGATGTAACCCAATCCTGAAGCAACATTTTGCATTTCGAGGGAGAGAATCGCATCCCGAACATGCTTGCATTGTTGCTTAGAGTGGTCAGAAGACTCTGCATTTTGTCAGTGTCTTCACCAAATAAAACGATGTCATCAGCATATTCTAAGTCAACAAGTGAACCTCCTGGTAGAAGTTCAACCCCTGTAAATTTAGATGAGGAGAGTGTTATCTCTAAAAGTACGTCGACGACAAAGTTGAACAAGAATGGGGAGAGTGGACAGCCCTGACGAACACCACTTGAGGTGATCAATTCTGATGACAGTTCGCCATAAGCTCTCACTCGACCAGTTGTGTTCGAGTAGAGAGCCTTTATAAGGTTAATGTACTTCTTTGGTACTCCTTTCAGTGACAAACACTGCCATAGAACCTCACGATCAACAGAGTCGAATGCCGCCTTAAGGTCGAGAAATACTACCATTGTGGGGCGTCTGAATGTGTGTCTGTGTTCTAGAACCTGACGTAGTGTGAATATCTGATCTATACAACCACGTCCAGGTCGAAAACCAGCCTGGTTTTCTCTAGTCTGCTCTTCACGAGCTTTGATTAGGCGTCGAAGTATTATTGAAGCTAATATTTTAGACACTATATTAGTCAAACTGATTCCTCTGTGATTGTCACAAGAGGACTTTTGTCCTTTCTTATAGACTGGCACAATCAGTGATTGAGACCAGTCAGATGGGATTACGTCCAGTTCCCAAATTCTACCTAAGACCTCAGTTAATCTCATTGCTAATACTGGACCACCATCCTTAAAAATCTCAGGAGTAAACCTGTCAGGGCCTGCTGCTCTCCCTCGTTTCAGATTTCCTATGGCTTTTTCAACTTCGTAAAGGGACGGAGGACCTACATTAACTTGCCATTCAGGTTGACTGGAGATCGTGGGAAACCGAAGTGTGGCTGAAGGCCAGTTGAACTGATCCCTAAAGTGTTCTGCCCATCGATCCAATCTCCTGGATTGAGAATGAATAATATGTCCATCTTTCTCTGAGATTGTTTCGCTAACGGTCGGGTTCCTAATTCCGGTTTCCTTAACGAGTCTGAACAATTGTCTGCGACAGTCTTCTATCGAGCCCCTCCATCGGTGGCTGATAGCGATGTGATCCAGTTGGGTCCAACGTTGGGACGAATTCGGGGGTCGCCATGTTAAAAGATGTTTTTCCTTATGCTTAAAGTTAGTATTTGCAAGGAACAGGCGGTTATCTGAGCATAGCTGCAACAGACGGTCGCCATTATATGTTCTTTGAGCCACGACACCATAGGATCCACCTAGGTGTCTTTCCTTATCACTTAGTTTGCCTACTTGAGCATTAAAGTCACCGGCCACTATTACTACATCCGAGCGCTTAGCTTTTCGGAGAAGGTCCGAAAGCTTTCTGTAAAACTCATCTTTTACATCATCTGAGCTGCAGTCAGTGGGAGAATAGGCAGAGACGACGAAGAGGCAACGACGAGTGTCCCTATCTTTCCGGATTCTTACTGTTCCGTTCAGTCGGACAGCGCACAAACGACTGTCTACTGGGATCCACTCTAAGAGAGCTAGTTCTGCCCTAGGACTCAATGCTATACCTACGCCGGCGAGGCCACGGGAAGCAGAATCAGGGCTTCCAGATACACGAAGCGTAAATCGAGTCGGTTCTTTATTTTGGCATGGTGAGGTCAAATGAATGACGCTACTTGGATCCTGTATGCGCGTTTCGGAGACGCAGCACACATCGATGGCGCGAGATTCTAAAGTTTTAGCTAAGGAAGCCTGCTGTCCTATTTGGCAAAGTGTTCGTACGTTAAAAGCTCCTACGTGTAGTTTAGAGCGTGGTTTCAGGAGACCAGGAATGGCGTTCCACGTACTCGAATCGTTTGCCCTAGCGGTGCGAGGTGATAAAGAGACGTGAGGAGGGTTAGTCGGGAGGATAAGAGAAGTATTAGGAGGTGTAGGAAGGATTTGAATGTGACCACCTTGGTCTCTTGTGCTGTTACGGGTATGAGGGCTGATGTCACTTCCCGGCTGCCCACACCGTGGAAGGGTATTTCTTGAGGAACCTGAAAAGGAAATTGGATTAGTGTTGGTCTTGACGACCTGGGAGCGTGACCGCAGAGCCCAAGGGACAACTGCTTGAGGCCGGTCGCGCACGGCCTTTTTGTGGAAGGTTTTTGACGTGTTAGCTCCGTTCTTCAAGGGGCCTTACCGCCGGAGACGGAAATCCGTGAGGTAAGGTGAGGTGTGCATTTTTAGGGTCGACCTTTTCTAACCCCACCCCTCCTTGTGGGAAGGCAGCATCGCTGTCATGCTGGTTGTCCGAGGGAAACACCTTACTGCTGTCACACCTCTCTACAGTCAGCAGTACGACTTCGCCCTCAGACCTTGAGTTGCTGCTTTTAGTCTTACCGTTCGCCAATCGACCTGCCTGGCATGGTAGAACCTGCAGGAACATATGTTCCAGCCAATATAGCTCGGTTGGGTCATCACGATAGGCAAGCCCGATCACCGCGTCAAGGTAGCAGCTTCGATCGGGGGAGGAACTTATATTTAGTCATTTAATATGGAATTATTCAAAATCCATAAAACCAAATTATTTCTTAAAATGTAAACCGTCGGATCTGCAATCACTCAGTAACTGAAGCGAATATAAATCAATTATTTGAGAGTTCTATATTTACTGATGCTGTTGCACTTTCCCCACTCCTTGAAGACATTGCGAACCAATAGACTTTGCTAGAATGCATACAAACAATCTGCAGTATATGCCATAAACACTTGTTGATAGCCAATTATAACACTGTGTTCCTGTGTGATTCTTATCTACAATTGACATTTACGTGTATATAAAGACATTCTGAAGCAAATATCAACTGCTAACGTAGTGTAAAGTGGACGAAACAATTATCGGTAATTCATTTGTATTGTTTCGTGAATCCTCACATTGATGTTTGGGATTGCAATTGATCAGTTTTCTATTCTTGAAGAGAACGGTACTGGGTTTGATTCCCGGGGAGAACATCAACTCTGGCATGCAGGTGCATCCGGCTAATGACATAGCTTTGGGGATTTAAATTTCTTCTCTACAATTTCAACTTCAGTGTTTTTTCCATCATAATATGGTTACATGATGTGCTATTCGCATTTTTCACAGGATTATTGATTTCTAAACTTATTTTCATCTTTTTCAAAGCCATTGTGACCCCATTTGTGTACACCAAATGTACGTTTAGGCAATCTTGTTGACAAAATTAGAAATCAATCAAAATTGGACTACGTTTTATCGCTTAGGTTAGGACTAAGAATTTTATAAGAATCAAAGCTACAAGTGTTTACCTGAATTACCAAGTCATAATACATTCACAGCGTTATATCCTATTGTTATATCGCATTATATAGTTATTAAGTAACCAGATTATTATATATCAATATGTATTCCTTTTATCATCAGCTTTCAAATAGCCCACTAACCATTGTAGTGTGATTCACTATTCTTATTCTGCTACCAATTTATTATCCTGTATCCCCCCGATTCACACATCCTTTCTCAATTCACCATGTAAAATTATTTCTTATTTGATGATGTGACGTGATTGGGCATGTCTGTACATAAACTGAATACGACTGAAAGATAATATTCATACAGTGGAGGCCGATTACTACGTACTGGACTCGGCAGGAAGGGCAAGGTGGGAAACTACTGTGTGGAGGACCAATAAGGATTTAGAGTTGATCCAAGGTTATTAGTGCTGAAACGAATTCTTATTGGTGTTTTCGTTATATGATATTAGTGAGTGACTATAAGTCATAAGACAGCATCACAATACAAAAAGACAATGTAATTAGAATTTTTAACATAAGTGAAAATATCTAGTTATAAATACCACATTCACATGGAAAATATAAAAGGAATTATACAAATATGAACAAGACTCACCATATTTAAAGCCTTCAATCTTGACACAAATTCACCGAGATTATCAATAAAAGTTAGTGGAGTATTGACCTATTATACAAATAAAAACACATACTGTGAAGAAAACCATGATTGTGTTTTGAGTTTTTTCTTAAGGTTTTTCAAATGAAGATAGCAGTTTAAGAGAAAGAAATTTCAAAATAATAATCCTAGTAATCATAATACACTTAAGTGAAGACATAGTCATAAACAGTGGAAACAAAGTTGTAAATTCATTACTGGAACAATAGAACCAACCATTTATAACTATGAACTGAGTACTTCATAAAAATTGGTGAACAACTCAAGAAGTATGAAAATTATAGGCGTCTCAAAGTATTTCACTCATAGCTTATTCGATATTGAAATGAGATCCCTTCTTTATTTGCACCTATTCACTGCTTCCGTTACATGATCACAGCAATTAAAGTTTTCCCACAGCCATCGTAGTTATAAGAGGGAAGTGAAGGTGGTTTTGAGCAAGAAAGTTTCTATGCCCAGAAGTCGAAAATAAATCATATCAATTCATGCGATCGATTTAAAAATGAAAATGATATTTCTTCCGTGATAATAAAAAAAAACTATGATTGATTTGAAGGAAAATACCAATGATTAAACTACAGAGACAATCAAATATTCAGTTTAATGACCGCAATCAGGGTATAAGTTACATTAACACAACAAAAATCTAGCCAGCCCTGATAACATAGGACCAGGCATATATATATGTATATACATCGGTCCAAGGTCCCATATCTCATTAGTACAACAAGATCAACACCAAATTCATAGAACCAGTCACTTCAATAGTAGCGATATATGTAGATAAATATAGCATATAAGGATATGATACAGAGAGAAAGAATTAGTTCGTAGAAAGAAAGGTATAAAGTAATTTTAATCTCACGGTTTAGATGAAAACAAAGAGTGTATACACCTACGTCATTGTGATCGATTCTCAGCCATGTCACCCAGTCTCCAACAATGGCTATGATTTACACAGAAAGTAGAACGGAGCAAACCGACGGGCAGTAAACCTATCCTTTGGTTGACAGATGTTTATTTTGTTAGTTAAACCCCATACATTATTTATGTTTTCTTACATAAGCATGTTACCCTGTTTAAGAAAAATCATGTTCTGCTGTCTTAATGTTTATTATATACTAGATCTTTCAATGGACCTGAGTCGATAATCTGGTCTTGCGAGCAGTTACCATACTTGGTTACGTTGCAATCATTGCATTTTAAATTATTTCCACAATCCAGAGACACATTATTATTTATAAACCTCAAAACCCTTTATTATAGAATTGTACATACGCACAAAAAGATGAAAATGCACACAAATTGATTAATCTTACTACTGTAACCTTTACGCATTTGTCTACACTAGAAAGCACTTTTGAAAAGTTCGTTTATAACCTATGTTAGAGCAACAAACATACATTGATGCAAAAAGTACTTTAAAAGGAAAAAACCGCGATATCGCTACTAATCACTTCTTATTTAAAGTATTATTTATGTTATTCGCTATAGTTGAATAGTTAGTTTCAAACACCAAAGAACTTAAATGAGATATCAGCTTTTAAATATCAACAATACGACGAGAATTATTTCTTAAAAAAATGAGTATTGTCAGTTTATAATCGTATTTACATTATCGTAAATAAGTATGTATGTTCATTAACACACTAAGAACATAAAATCCATCAACAATTTCTAACTTTCCCTTCCATGCTTATACGTTGAAAAAAAATACCTTGCCAACATATTCAGAGGTGGGAATAACGAGTTTTATAAGTACTCCAGCCTGAAAAAGTGCAGAAGAGTGAGGGGCATTACATTTACTCGATAATTTTCGTGTCGAATTGTCTATAAGACACTATTTAGGTTTTACTAATGCACTGTTTTATAGGAGAGTTAGTAGCTTTGTTAGTCGAAGATAATATCTCCAAGATGTTTCCTTTGTTATCTTGAAAGATAATAAACAGAACTAAGTGTGTGAAATTTCTCAAAAAAACCTTCCTCTACAATTTCCAAGATGCATCGTTAAACGATTTAGTCAGTACTGAATAGGGAAAACTTTAATAGATACATAATTCCCTTATGCAGAAATTCTCATTTACTTAAACTGAATGTTGCAAGTGCATGTTTGTTTCTGGAATGGTAATTACAAAAGAAACGAAATGTTTAATTGACATAAATGTTTATTAACAGGGATGAAACATCCAGAAAAAGTATTTGCTCCGTGAAGATTGATATTCTCAACAAATTCCTTTAGGCTATAAATATCATGCTGAATAAAAAGTGTCAAAATGATACTGATGATAAGAAGATATCTTTCGTTGTAACGAGTTATTCCAATATAATCTACTCTGGAAAGGTACCAGATATCTAATACAACAGAAGGAACAGAAAAAACATGAATAAAAGAATATCAAAAGTTTTAAACTAACTTGGTTGATAGCTTCCTTGAAATTGACAGCAGAAAGAAATTTGAGACGTTCAAAAGCTGCTAAACACGACCCGATAGTACGGCGAAATGGAGACTCTATGTCGACTTTCTTAAATGACTCGATGAGACCCTGCAAAATTCCGTCAATTGCCTAAAATATGCAAAAAATCGATATAACAATAATTTGTAAACACATAATAACTGAATATCATATGAAACCTAAGAATGTTCTAATGTACGTTGTAAATTTGAAACAAATAAAAGTTGAAACCAAGATGAGAAATCCCAATGAACCACGTCAGATAAGTCTGACAAGCTAATTTAGGACTTTACAACATGCTAATTAATTTACAAGTTAAAAAATACGCTCACCCTGTACTCTGAGCTGAATTCTCTTTTTCTTATTCAATGACATTATGGAAATGGAATTCGAAATGATCCTGTTACGTATTTCGTTATTTATTTTTGTAACAGACAAAAAAGTGCACCATGATACACCAAGCTATTCAGAAGGTTGAAATATTTCTCCGTTTATAACAAAATGACTCTTTATTGTGGTGCATAGATAAAATACAAACGAATAAATCATCGATCTCTCGAAGAAACGTGTTTCAAATGACTTATGAGCTGTACATACAAATCTCCACAAAGAAACAAGGAATTTTATGCACGTACGGTTAGACATTAAAAAGAATCTAATGATCACTTCTCAACGAATTAACTAAAATTATAGTGTTATACGGTGAGTCAATTAATTTGATTCTTACTAAACAGATAATCCAACTGCAAATGTACGAAGTATCATACATAAGGTGATTAATCTTGTAAACCGTGGGAATCGATTCTATTATTATTTTGCCCTAAATTTATACATACCTTCTGTCAAATAGACAGCCAGTGATTATTTCAGTTAGTTAAATAACAACCAAATGATCGTCGCAGTTATATTAACAAATCACTTGCTACCTTAATTATGGTCGAAGCTATTCACCAGTTATTCACTGTTTAATACGTATGCGATATCTAGCATTTTCAAGCAATTAACCGCTCATTTAGTGGACGATTGCTGAATAAAAGAGTGTAATTTCCACTTTAAACTTCATTTCAAGCATTTGAAGTTCGTTACCAACACCTGTCAGCTATGAATACGTTAGTGTAGCTCATTCCAACATGCTGGATGAAAAACACAAATGTAGCGAAAGTTAGAGCTTGGAATGAAGTCGCGAATGAAAATTACATTCCTATATACAAAGATCATAAACTAAACGAATAAAAAGAATGCCCGAAAGTCATGGATACCACCTATTTGTTGAACAATTAAAAGTGGATGGATAACCATAGTCTTTGTTGAATAAATAATATTTCAACTGCATGCACAGTAATAAAGGAAAAAGGAAAGACTAAAACTACATTTGAATAATTCATTTCCTACACTACGTAAGCAACTGGATTTTGAAGTTAACTAGTAGACATGAAGATATCGACCTACAGACGTAAGATTACTTTACAGTTGCGAGATGTACAGAAACACTAAACTGATTTTCACATTTTAAGTATTACGAATGATTGGATGACTCAGATAGGTATTGCTCTGTTGTTTTCAAGATTTATAAATATTTACAGACCAATTTTTACAATAAATAAATACATCAGGACTACACGTTAAAAATACAGTATTAATAAAAACTCTGTTCCTTATTCAAAGAAACTAATAAAAGTTGTAGATATGTCACTAAAATAAAAACTAATCACAATTGTGAATGATGTCAAAAATTGTTTTCAAGTCAAAGAAAAAACCGACTTACATCAGCAAGTATAGGGGAAACGAACTCTCCTGTACTGATTGCTTCTACGAATGGTTCGTCTTCACATCGAGTCAAAATGGCATCTGACAGATTAAAACGAATAATATCCAACGTTGACCTGATAGCCTCCAGTTCATTTTTATCAACATGAAATGTCCTAGATTTAGACGAGTTCGGTAGTGACCCATCAACGGCAAGAAAAATTGATTTCAAACTTTGAAAAACGTATTGGTCCATTTTTTGGGGACCATCTGGATAGCGACCAGTCAGATATCGACAAACTTCAGTTTGCAAAGTTCCGCCAAAAAGGAAAGGTACCATGCAAGAGACCATCAAGATAGTTGAGAAAAGAAACATGAATCCTACACCTCTGAAAAAAGGTAATGTAGCATTGAGAGTTAATTGCAAGAAGCAATTCAATCAATTCAAAAACAAAGTTTCCATAGACATCCATGAATATTGAAAAGAAAATATCATCTATCACTTGGTTTTTCACACTTACTGAACTTCAGTTTATGAGATTAAAGTTAATAACGTTAACCTGAGTAAAAGTAAAACTATGTTTCGAAACTGTAATCTAAACAGAAAAAGTGGATATATAGTCACACCTTGATTAAAATCTGAGAACAAGATCAGAAAACTATACCCTAAACTACGGGTAAATATAAGGCTCTCTAAACTAAACAATCAGTGGTAAAAAGATATTTGACGCCCAATATAGTCTCACAACTAAAGATATAGAACACTTGTGGAATTAAATATCATGAAAAGGATAACAGATGGATTTATATGATCGGATTATATTTAACCACGAATAAGAAAGGAAACAATCACCTACATCTCTAAAAAATCAACATGATTTACATTTTATGTCAAAAATTTTAAGGAAAACCTTCATATTTCCCTATGACCAGTTCCTCATCTCTTATTAACACGTTACTTAATTTCTGTATTGAAGAAAGAATCAACTGATCACTTTAAAATAGTTTACTCTTTTATCTATAGCACCCAACGCAAATGTTACTTAGTATGATAAAATAGGACAAAAAATCAGATTGATCACATATATATAAAGGATAAAATATCACACTTACGCAAGTAAAAAATTGGCGCCGACACCCCGATTACACAAACCGGCCTCTTCATATGGACGATCACCACAAGTGCCAAAACATAGTCCAAGATATAATATCAGGAAAATTAAAATGGGAATGCACAACAGCGCCACTCCGCCATATAACACATACTCGACAGCTCTAGAAATTTTCATTGAAGATAGCGAATAACTTTAGAAACTTTCAATAAAAAATGATATAAGAATAAATAAAAATGTCAACTCTGTCTGTTATTGTTTACACAGCACATTCAAAAAGTCAGCTACAACGTAGGACCAGGCATATATATATGTATATACATCGGTCCAAGGTCCCATATCTCATTAGTACAACAAGATCAACACCAAATTCATAGAACCAGTCACTTCAATAGTAGCGATATATGTAGATAAATATAGCATATAAGGATATGATACAGAGAGAAAGAATTAGTTCGTAGAAAGAAAGGTATAAAGTAATTTTAATCTCACGGTTTAGATGAAAACAAAGAGTGTATACACCTACGTCATTGTGATCGATTCTCAGCTATGTCACCCAGTCTCCAACAGTTGGTTACAGTAGTCGCGCAAACCCCATCCAAGTAGTCTGCATCCACCAATATGGCTCAGACCACCCGTCTCCAACACTAGTCAGTATTGCGCGTCGTGGTAATCAGTATTCACGTATACGTAACACGTGGCCCAGCCACCTCAAGCAATAAAGATTTACAACCTTATCAACTGATTTACCATCATTCCCTAATACCCTGCGTCTAATCTCATTATTACTTACCCGGTGATCCCCACAGATGAGAGCAATATTTCTAAGACATCGGTGATCAAATACTAGTAACTTACGAGTATCTTCTATTATTAGCCGTCAAGTAAAACAGAACGAACTGCTCAGCAGTATACTCGTACTTCAATCGATAGACGGATATCTCGCCTTCGCCATAGGTGACGAAAGTTGACAAAAGCCAAATGAACTTTCTGAATCCGTGCAGTTTTTTCTTCAGATACCAACCCATTAGGGTTGATCAGACTTTCAAAATAAATGAAGTTGTCGACGCGTTTGACTATTTCACTCCCTATCCTTAGCTCAGGTGTTGACGCAGGCCAGTTTTGAAGTCACGACTTGCATTTAGAGGCATTGTTGCTCAGTTCTACCAAAAGAATGCATTTATCAGCATCTTCACCAAACAGGACTATGTAGACCTCGTAGAAAGAGATAAATGACCAAAAATTCAGTCGACGAGGATGTTTATTCCATCAGAACAAAATGGAGATAGTGGACAGCCTTGACGGACACTACTTGAGGTTGCAAAATCGGATGACAGTTCGCCATAAGCTCTGTTTGGGAATGGTGGGTAGTTGTAAAGTAGCTGAAAGGCAGCTGAACTGCTCCTTAAAGTGTTCCACGAGCGGCAGTATTCCATCGAGTCTCTCCAACAATGACTGACGGCAATATGGTCTACTTGAGTCCATCGTTGGTTTGGTGCACAGGATTGTCATGTTAGACGATGCCACTCCTTATGCTTAAAATTAGTGCTTGTCTGAGCACAACTGCAGCAGACGGTCATCAGTCAGTCAGTCAGCTACAACGTAGGACCAGGCACATATGTGCATCGGTCCAGGTTGCCATACCGCATCAGCACAACAAGATGAACACCGAATTCATAGCAGTGGTTACGTCAAAGGTGATAATATATAAGAGAAAGATTGCATATAGAGATATAGTACAAGAAGAAAGAATTGGTTCGTAGAAAGAAAGATATGAAGTGATTTTAATCTCTTAGTTTAAGGGAAGACAGGGAGTGTATACACCGACGCCATTGTGATCGATTCTGAGCCATGTCACCTAGAGTCTCCAACCATTGGTTACGATAGTCACGCGGACCTCAACCAAGTAGTCTGCATCTACCAACATGGCTCAGACTAGAAGTTAATGTCTTCAAGCACTGCTGCCACGTTTTGGTTTGGCCGCCCCTAACTTTCTTCCAATCATCTCCAATACCCGATAGCATTGCACGTCGTGGCAGTCGGTGTTCAGGCATACGTAACACGTGGCCCAACCATCTCAGTCGATGAAGATTCATAACCTCATCAACTGATTTACCATCATTCCCTAATACCCTGCGTTTAACCTCACTATTACTTACCCGGTGATCCCAGCAGATGCCAGCAATATTTCTAAGGCATCTGTGGTCAAATAGTAATAGCTTACGAGTGTCTCCTACTCTTAATGGCCATGTTTCGCTGCCGTAAAGTAAAACAGAACGGACGGCCGTGCAGTATACTCGTCCTTTTATTGATAGACGGATATCTCGCCTTCGCCATAGGTGACGCAAGTTGGCAAAAGCCAAGCGAGCTTTTCGAATCCGTGCTGAGATTTCGTCAGACACCAACCCATTAGGGCTGATCAGACTTCCAAGATAAGTGAAGTTGTCAACGCGTTCGACTACTTCACTCCCTATCCTTAGTTCAGGTGTTAACGCAGACCAGTCCTGAAGCAACAACTTGCATTTAGAGGGAGAGAAGCGCATTCCAAACATTCTGGCATTGTTGCTTAGTGCTACCAAAAGACTCTGCATTTTGTCAGCGTCTTCACCAAACAGGACTATGTCATCTGCGTATTCTAAGTCGATAAGTGGACCTCCTGGATGGAGATCAATACCCGAGAACCCAGTCGACGAGAAAGTTATTTCCATCAGTAGGTCTATGATGAAGTTAAACAAAAATGGAGAAAGCGGACAGCCTTGACGGACACTACTTGAGGTTGCAAAAGTAGATGATAGTTTGCCATAAGCCGTGACTCGACAAGTAGTGTTCGAGTAAAGAGCCTTCACAAGGTTTATGTACTTCTGTGGTACGCCTTTCAATGACAGACACTGCCACAGAATCTCGCGGTCTACCGAGACGGTCATCATTATCTCTTCGCTGAACCGGAATACTAAAATACCCACTTGAAGGTCTTTTTGTTTGGTTTAAGCTGCCTACTTCAGCATTAAAGTCAGCTGCTATGAGTACTATGTCTGAGTTTAGATTTTTGAAGAAGTTCAGAAACCTTTCTGTAAAATGATGAAAGAGCAACAACGTGTGTACCTATCCTTCCAAATTCTTACCAAGCCGTTTTGCCGAACAGCACATAGGCAACTGGTAACAGGGATCTATTCTAATAGTGCTTGTTCCACCTTCGTACTTAATGCTATGCCTACACCTGCCAGTTCACGAAAACTAGCCATCGGGTCGCCAAATACGCGGAGGGTGTGTCTTATCGGCTCTCCGTTTCGGAGAGGTGAGGTTAAGTAAATGAATACACTAGGATCCTGTATGTGTTTCGGAGACACAGCATACATCAACCGTACGATATTCTAGGTATTTAGCCAAGGAAGCTTGCTGGCCGATTTCACACAGGGCTTCAATGTGTAGTTTGGAGTGAGGTTTCAGTAGACTTCTAACAGTGTTTCGCTCACGAATCGTTGGCCATGGTGACACTTGTGGAGGAAGCTTAAAGTTGATAGACGAGTTTGGTCTGTGACCAAAGGGTGTGATTGCAGTGCCCAAGGGACAACTACCTGAGGTCGGTCACACCAGACATTCTTCGGGATAAGGTGAGGTGTGCATTTTTCGGGTTGACCTTTTCTAGCTCCACTCTTTCTTTTTGGGAAGGCAGTATCGACGTTATGCTGGTTGTCTAAAAGGAAACAACTTACTGCCACCACACCTCTGTACAGTCAGCAGTGCGACTTCGCCCTCGGACCTTAGGTCTGCAGCTTTTAGTCTTACCGTTCTTGAGCCGAGCTGTCTCGAATCGTAGGACCTTGTGGGACGATTCTTTCAGCCAGTATAGCCCAGTCGGTTTATTATAATAAGCAAGCCCGACCACCACGCTACGCGTAGTCTTACAAATTTCGCATACATACACTAAGGAAAATGACGCTATGTAATTTTATAATGTGAATATCGGTCGATCGAATAGCTGTCAGAAAGACAGCTAGAAATATGAAATAAGCAATGTGTAGTTAGGTGGTTCCTCTTGAAACTAGCGTTACTACCAGAAGAACATAGTGTCGACTCCCAGCATACAAGACATATAAATGTGATATAATAAAGTATCGTTAACTTTTTAGTAGTAATGAGTTTATAGTAGCCTAAAAATCTGTTAGAAGCATTAATTGCGTTACTTTGTCAATTAGAAAAACGTAAATATAGAATTTACCAAAGCATGGCAATCGCTCATTCCATAAACAACGTAAGCAGCATGATTTCGATTGTAAATTTTTAAAAGAAACTTCACCAGAAATACATGTAACTAGGATAAAATTCACACTAACCGTAAATAATGATCATTTACTTCTTCATTAATCTCCAATGAAATTCGATCACGAATAAATTTTAAAGTGGTGCTTATGTTAACCATAATATGTTCGAATACACTAGCTAGTTTCTCTCGTGTCTTTGGAGAGTGAGCTAAATCGTTCCAGGCACCTATGAAAAAACAATGTTATATAAGTATGATTGAAATGTACCCTAACAGAATAATTGAATTCTATAGATGAAAATATCAAACGAAATAAAATACAATACAGGTATATGGGAAAAGTAAAATAAGTCACCTGTCATAATATGTATTATTACTTAAGAAAAAAAACTGGTTGAACGGAATTATGAACTGTATTTCTAGTATAAACACGTAATGTACAGATGCAAAAAATCAATCTAATGTGATATATATATAATCTATCCTTTAATATACGATATAAACATATTGACGATCTGAAGTTTGCTATTAGTGTATTTATTTGTCTAAACTATTATTCGTATTAAAATTTGCGCGGTACTACAGGAGGAATCTGTATTAATTGTTAATATAGTATTTGAAATGTTAAATAAACTGTAGTATACAAGAAAAACAAGAACATTTTTAGAACATATTAATGGCAAACTAATGTTAGCTCAGTAATGAAAAATCGAATATCAGATGAAAAAAAGTAATGACAATCAACAAAATGAAATTTGAAACATTTACATATAACATTAGGTAGGAAGATATTTTTCTCTATGAAAGGAAAATGGTGACTTTGGTGATCGCGTACAACACCTGCGCAAATTTATGATATGAACCTTATGCAGTAGGATATCGTTACATGTGCTAACGAACAAAGTAATCTTATAAACATAGAAATACAAACTAATGGAGAAACATTGGTGCGGTTAATGTGTAAGAAAATGCCAACAATTCTCGTGACATACAGTTGCAAAAAACTAAAGCTGACTTGTCTAAAAAGACACAATTTAACTGCAACTGATTTTGATTAAATCAGTCAGTCAGCTACAACGTAGGACCAGGCATACATATACATCGGTCCAAGTTGCCACACCTCATTAGCACAACACTGAATTCATAGAACGAGTCACTTCAATAGTAGTAATACATATAGATAGCATATAAGGATATGATACAGAAAGAGAATCTTTTCCACTCTGCTTACTTTTATGTCAGTATCAAGCATCGGAGTGTAGGGTGTATGTACATGCCTAATCTCTGACAAAAATCCAGTTTGGAAAAATACTTTTAGAAAGTATTAAAAAGGTGTTTCACATATTCTCTGTACCATCAGACGGAGACTAGGAGAATCCTCAACATATAAGTGGTTTGTAGAAACATCTAGATCGGTACAGAAGCGACAGCTTGATCAAACATATCCTAACGAAAAGCGTTTCAAAGTTTAAGTGTATATGTAAGGATGATTCAGTATTGTAAATTATTCGATACGCGATTCTCGTTATTCTTAACACACAATCAACGTCTATCATAACGTACGACAATGCCTTAATACTAGTTTATGTCCGTCTAGCTATCAGTGGAAGTCAGGGATCATCAGAACGACTGTTTTGTTACATATGACATTTCTATCAGCAAGAACCTATAACCCACTGTAGAACTATTAATAAATCATGATCTCTGAATTTACTAGAGTATTAAACTCCAACACATAAACTGGAAGTGATTCATCAACAATATTGTAAACCCATTCATGACTTTCATAAGCAAATAAATAACTCTCTACTAAACGATCAAATATAACACAAACTATCCGCCTTTCAGATAAAACTACACAATAAAAATAAAAGTAGGCTACAAACTAATGAGTGAAGACTTACGATCCAGATCACCACTAATGGAACGCTTCACATTTGCGGCCAGATTGTTGATAGTTCCATTAAACTAGATAACATTGAAACAAATTAGGAGAAAAGGAATTATTAACTAAAAGAAAACTACCGAATAATTATAAAAGCATATGTTAGGATGAAGATGTCAGAGAACTTCATGATAGTCAAAATATAAAACATTGAATAACACATACTGCAAATCAGACCAAGCTGATAAATTTGAGCAGTTGTCAAAATGTCGAAAACCTTAACTTATTATTATTATTATTATTATTATTATTATTATTATTATTAACGGCTTTATTCAGTATTATATTTTGGTACAATATAGAATTTCCAGCACGAAGTATTTCAACAAGTTTCTTTTACAAAAACAACAAAAAGAAAAGAAAAAGGTCAAAAAATATCCAAATCTGTACAAATTTTCAAATTAGAGATATGTTTAGGAATACAGGTTATTGATTAGCTTAACTCTAACAACGTGTTCGTCACAGAGTATATTTCCTAGGTAAGGTATTATAAAACTTTTAGACCTTTGCTTGCGTGCATGAATTTAGGTCTCGTTCTACCAGAAGATATACAAGGAGAAAGATGTGAATGAAGATGGTTAATATGTGATAAGATAACACCTGCCAGGAGTTTGCAAGACTTCAGATATCTATCCACAACCATATTAATAATGACCTCAAAAGATTAACCAAATACCTTGCTAACTGCTTTCAGCACTCTCCACAATACAGCAAAGTCTTTCCTCAAAAACCCGGGAAAGAATGATGGAAAACAGTAAAGAATAATAGGTAATATGCAGGAATTGACAAATTGTAAGAGTAAATATCGAGTAATCCCAAGAGCATGCAGCCTCTTTATGTAGTAAGTCAGACAGAAAACTTTCTTTGATAACGTTAAAATATGATAAGACCAAGAGAGGTCAGAGAAACAGGTAACGCCAAGATAATTGACCTTCCACACTATTTACCAAAGAGTCTCCAATTGCACAGGCATTATGGGATCTCAAAATGGTGTTTAGGTGCTGTTCATGTCTCATGCTAAAGTTAACAGCTTGACATTTAGACGGATTAAGTATGAGACCATTACCAACAGACCAACAATCAATACGAGACAAAAACTCATTCATTTCTATGGGATGTAAAGAGGAAGAGATAGGGATACATACAGTGAGATCATCCGCGTACTTCACAAAAGTGTTTTCTGTGGAAGATGGCAGGTCATGCAGAAAAAAAGAGAATAGAAGAGGTGAAAGAACAGCTCCTTGTGGTACACCTTCCTGAGACAGTAGAGAATCTGAACTCTTTCCTCCAAACACAGTGTACTGTTCCCTTCCAGAGAGGTAGGAACATAGCCAGTTGGTTATCCAGCTGTCAGTGCTGACGCTGATTAATTTGTTAAGTAAACGTTGTCTTGGTATACAGTCAAAAGCTGAAGTATAGTCCAGAAAAGCACATCGAACATATTTCTTACCCTTTTCTAAGTTGAACACTATGTTGTGATGCAGAACAGCAACAGCATCTAAAGTGCTTCTTTTGCGTCTGTAAGCAAACTGATATGGATCAATGTGCTCTTTTATTGCAGGTTGAAGTGAGAGTATCAATAATCTTTCAATCGTTTTGAGGAAAGGTGAATTTATTGCTACGGGTCTAAATTTCACATTCTTATCACTAGATACTTTCTTAGGTATAGGGATTCTCTTTCTCTTTCTCTACATTTTCGGTATGAGATTAGTTGAGAAAGATAGAGCTGAGACGTCTAATCTCTGGGTTTATTAAACCATTTAGCTTACGAAATTCAATTGTTTTCCTTCTTGTACATTCTTTTTTTACTCTTCGTAGTCAACTTACTTGTGGAGATGTACGTCGACCAAAACTTTAAAAAATGGTTTCAGTGAAATAGTAAATATCAAACCAGAATTTAAGATAAAAAGTGATAATATCAGTAATGTTTTCCAGTGAGTCATCTGTAAATCATTCCCAGTTAGTCGTAAGAAACATGTTTCTCAGATTTTGGATATCTTCTTCTGAGTAATTCCTATATTTGGCTTTCTTGGTCTGATGTAAGAGTGTACTCTTTCCATGCTTTTCATATACTTTAGGTAGAACATGAATTATACAGTGATCCGAGCTAGACAATGGAACATGTTTACGAGTCAAATTAATGAAAATGAGCATCCAAACGAGTAGGAAAATCTACTACATTTTGGTGACCTAGTGATGCAAGGAAGCTACAGTCACATGGATTGAAATCACCATATAAAATTGAGAGTGAAACACTGAAAGCAGTAACAGCAAATTCATCAGCGAAAACAGATAGCCCAGATGATGTGCAGTCTGTAGTCACGTAGATGTTGGTAACACAAACATAATTGTGCTTATTCAGGTGTTTTGGACGACATCTTAAAGTTAGACAGTCGATAAAGTCATTTGAAAACTTGAAACATGAAAAAGTAGATCGACACCATTTCGTGTTTACACCGCCGCCACACCACTTTTTATTGCTTGATCAATCCTGACGATAGATATTGAAATCATGTAGTGATGCTAAGCAATCGTCCTGTGAATCACTTAACCAAGATTCTTGAATTGTGATGACAACACAATTACGATACACGTTTTCACTTAGTAGGAATTGAAAATAGTCCACCTTGTTAATTAGTGATCGGTAGTTAGAATTCAGCAGCTCGGGAATCGACATACGATCAATGTTCATTCTCCTCAATGCGAACTGCCAAACACCACGATGTCTCTTATTGTACTTTTCTCAACTTGTGCAGCGAAAGGTTGTAAGCTTTTTATATGCGCGCCTGCGTAGGTTATGAGATTGATAGACATAATGAGACGTTAAAACAAATTTTTAAAAAAAAGATAACTTGTTGAAATATTTAGATGGAAGAAACAGGTAGCCCAGATATTCAAGCAGGCCCTCGATGCAGCTACTCAGTTCCAAGTTCAAACCCTGCGGGACTAAAATACATAGACAATAGTATCACTAGGCCTTACACAAATGATGGTTTAAAATGGATTACAAGAGCACACGTGTTTAGTAAGAGGAAAGTTGATCAGCTGGCAAGTTATGTCATAAATACCACCAATAGACCAAAAGAAATTTATTGTTTAATTTAACTTCATTTATTCGTGATCCCAGTTTTCAGGCTGATCCTGTTTCGCGATCAGATTCAGATGACAAGGCGATATCAAAAATTTTTTACGAAATATTTTAAAAAAAGACATATTTCAGACGAAGTAATTCATCAAACCACATGTGTACAGTGCAGAAATTGTAGATGTTAATTTTATATGGTGTGGATTGATGTTACAATTAGTTATAATGCAAATTATTGTACGAGTCTAAGTAGTTCAAATAGGCACTGAACAAAATAACCAGACAATCAATATATAAGGATGTAAATGGGTAAAAGCTAATAATTAAGCACATGAATAAGTACAAAATGAATAATGAGATTACAGTGATACAACTAATGGTCATATGAATGTTGGGCCTTACAACAGTTGAAATAAGACAGGCTTGAGTATGTGTGAATGATAAGAGGCTACTTAGTATTTAGAATTTTCAAGATTTTAGAATGAAGCAAACCTTAAATAATATCTCCTAACAGTTCAACATCCAATGAACTTAATGGTAGATAGCCATGCTTTACAGGAATAGCTTTTAATAGCTGAAATAAACTGTGTGATGCAGATCAAAACGATAAGTATTGAAAAACATAACTTTACATTTAGGTGTGTAAAGAAAGGGAAAGTGTGATTGCTATAATAGGTGGGGTCAGAGCTTTAGACAATGAACAGAGGCGGCCAAACCAAAACATGGCACAAGTCCATGAAGTCACTGACAGGTGGACTGAGTCATGTTGGTAGGTGTAGACTACCTGGTTGGGGACCGCGAGATGATAGCAACCGATGGTTAGAGACCCTGAATGACATGGCTCAAAATCGTTTGCAATGGCGCAGGTGCATCCACTCTCTGTGTTCTCCCAAATTCTAATCTTCTGAATTCTTCATGTCCCTTTTTTTTCTTCTTTCCAAATTTCTTTCACTGGATTATACTCTTTAAATAACATCTCCAAACCCTAATCTTCCTGATTACTGCTTATACTCTTATTACCTCTACCACTACGGGATTTGAATCGACAACTGCATCTCTGTGCTGTGGTGTGGCAACTCGAACTGATGTACGTACGTACGAAGTTCTACGTTGTTACTGACTGACAGAGGTTCGGTATATAACATGTGAATATACGGTTTATAATATATGGTAATACGATACGATGGACAAGAATTAGGCCTAGTAATCAAGTCTTAGTTTATTCAAAAGCGAGCGACTAACAAAACGGATTTTCCCTAATCAATTTTATAGCACCCGATCATGTTAATCTTTCTAAAAATTTACATATAAACATTGTATTTTATTATGTAGAAAGTCTATTTATATGGCTAGTGGTACCAGCTTATTCCGAGATTTTAGTCAACATTCTAGTCTGATAAGCAGTAACCACTCACATAAATGCGTTCTCCGTTTTAACAAGCCAAAAACTGTTTGTTATTAGATCCTAATCCAAAACACCAATGCTGATAATTATCATGTTCGCACCAGTGACTGGCTTCAAGATGAATTCCCTGGAGTTCTAGTGGGAAGCCGTGGCCATTGGAGTTCAAAAGTGTCTGTTGTGAGGAAATTACTCACTGAAACTAACGGTGAACGGTCGTGCAATATCGTGGATTGGTTGAAGTTAGACATTAACACCGGTGGATGCTGGCTCAGTGGTCTAGAGGTTAAGCGTTCTCGCGCGAGACCGGAGGTCCTGGGTTCAAGCCCCACGCGCGGGATCATGGATGCTCATAGCTGAGGAGTCCAATGCTAGGACAAAGTGGCCTTCCAGTGATTCCAGTTTTTCAATAGTGGTCTAACCCTGATCCATTCATGATATAAATTTAAAATAAATGTTCTGTTGAATTGTTACAAAAATACTGAGATACTAGGAGGGGGGATGTAGAAAAAATATATATACAAGAATTCAATATCGAAGTTTGTTTAAAAAAACATACCAAGTAATTTATTCATGTAATAAATGTTATCCGAAAAAATAACCTTTTAAAATAATTAGTAACAATGAACTGAGATAAAATTAATAATCCTTACTTCACTGAGATAGTCAACATCAGGAAGATGCCGTTGAATTTGATTAGAAATAGAAAACGCTTCGTCTAGTTGGAACTACAATCAGAAAAATGCACATAATTTCTTTTTAAAAATAACATCACTACGATTAATAATCGAAATCTACACATATTTCTTAAAAATTAGATAGTGTTAGAATTTCAAAAATACACTAATGAATGTATTAGACTTGAATGCATTTTAATACTATTCATTTATTTTTCTCTAAGTCTCATTAAATGTTTTTCTATAAAATACTTTATACGATTTTTATATGAATTAAAACAGGTAACAAACAACCAGCTTTCGAAACCTTGGCAACAATGGTAGCAACCAGCAAATTCCTTCATAAAAAGAAGACTGATTAAATGTCAAGTTGAAGGGAGTATGTATTTAGACTACATTTTTATGTAGATTCAAAATTAATTTTCTACTCAGTCAGTTGAAGGCGATTTTTTAAGCCAAACTGTTTACGTCTGAACTATGGTAAAAAAAATTAGAGATTTTTCAACAATGAGCGAGAAATGATAGATCATTTGAGAAAAAAACTTGTAACCTAAAACCAAAAATATAATTCATGAAATCATTACTTACCATACTTGGTGAAACACGAATTTTTAACTGATCGTTGGCCAGTCCCATCAATTCTCGGCATTCAATGATCTTATCAATGGGACAACCTGTATTCAATGTATCGGTCAAACCCTGACGAATGGTAGGTAATTCAGAGATCACTTCATAAAGTGAATTGTTAAAGTAACTGATTTGTGAGATTGCCTCAGATCCAGGGAGGAAAGCTCGTGCAGCTTGTAAATAAGAAACAGTGAATACGATTAGGAAAAAATTCATGAGTATGGAATAGGAATTTATGAATTGCTTTGTGTAGCTAATCATATGCAAAATTAATTTGAAAATAAGTAAATATTAGCATACATTGATAACTGTATAACCAGTGATATCACCAAACAACCTAGATTAATAGGTGATTTTTCGAACTAACATTTTTACTGGCATCACACCAAAAACATAAAAAACACCCAAAGAGAAACACCAAGTGGACAAGTAAGATGTGAACGCAATGCCCATTTTTCGAAACAGGTTATGTGAGTATGATTCTCGAGGTGATTAATTAACGTCCTCAACAAGCAACTGAACTGTTATCCCAAGGACTTGGGACGGAAAGCCTTCACTCTTTTACAAGAACTGCTTTGATAGCAAAAAACCTTCATGGGTCAATGTCTCAATCTTGTGCCCAAAAAATTATTTCACACCTAACTGCATCAAACTACATACCCTTAGCATATAAAATCACTCCTTGGACATCCGAAAAACAGTTTATAGTTTCATTTCTATTTCTATGTCACAATCTGTTACACTGTCGGGATCGATGTATTTTCAAGTGATAAAGGTAGGAACCTTATCATCTGCCATAGTGCTTAACTGCAGCGTTATTCGGGGTCTAATATTGGAGCACTTACCTAGATTCTAAGTGAATATGACTTAGTCATTTGTGAGCATTGATTGAGTTCTGAGCCACTGAGTAATATATTGAAAGATTTAACTATTATTGTCCCCGTCACCTTTAAGAGCTGTAATTAAAGACGTCTGGAGATTTTCAGAAAAATTATGATGTGCAAATATCATAACCACTTATTAACACAAAAGCATTGTGACAGAGGTTTACATCGTTTATTTCTTTTAGTACCGTTATGATGAATTTAACACTTATGCCCTAACCTTTGTAATTATCCTTTGAAAAAGTTGAATGTAAAGCTCTATCATCTTCAACTCTAAATACAGAAGGCTTTAGTACAGAAAGCAAAATATCACATGTAAATTATGTCATAATGTATGCATATTAATAAATGATTAAATATACATACTTGTTTGAAATTCTGAAATTGCATCAGATACATTATTCGCTTGAGACAGTTTGGTAAAATCTTCTTGAAAACTGACAAGACTATCTGGAAGAAAAGTAAGTGAAGTTTTGCTAGTACACAACTTAGATACGGAGACCAAAAACATCATACATAAGATTACAATGGAAATGATTGTAAATAGCTTGACCTTAAAAAATAATAACAAAAAAGTAAATTCCATTCCTCAATTTACTCAATGGCAAATCGCAAGGTAAAAGCAGAATCCCGTAACATATATATGACGATCTTAAGTTCAGATACCATTGAACTTTGATGTACTGTGTTCATACTTATTAAAACAATCGTTAATTTTTTCGTGATAACTGATTGATCATATTTGTTTGGCTCTTTAATTCAAAACCAAGACACTATTCTGATAGCCTATCTCAAAACCTTCGAATGTGCTTGAAGATTACCAATCCTTACATGGAACCTTAAACAAACTTATTTACTTTATTATTATTTGAAAGTCATTTACTATCTGCATTTTCAAGTCTTGTGAAAAAGCTAATCAAACTATCCAGTTCTCTAAGCCGAGTTACGTTTAGTGAGGTTCAGGCTTACTGGTTTGAAGTTGAATGCTTAAACTAATGAGCCCTTTCTACATTAGCATGTTTAATGCTTCCCCCTACGCGACATCCTTGAGAAGATACAAATGAAAAATAAAATGTATAGAAATAATTGTATTTAAATTAAGTGGAAAGTAGTAAGGTTGATGTATTGATTGATTTAACCTACCATCTACAATTCGCATGAAGCGTTCTTTTTGTTTACTAAGATCTGTTGAGGAAGTATTCTTTGCCATCTAAAAAACAGAAGTAAAAAACACTGTCACATGCTCCTTTCTGATACCATAGGTCACATGCATTACGGATAATCAACATAAAGACTTTTTTTTCAAGTGATCAAAGTTTCACATTTTATTTAGAATAACTTTCAGTGCGCATTATTTTTATGAACCGTTGTTTGTTTTTGTCAACTTTTGTCTTTTCTACAGATGGAAATTGTAAAACTATGAGAAATGGTAAGAACCCAATACCACACCTGAACCAGATTACCAACAACTATAATTATGTCAGCATCCAATTTGGCAGCAGAGTTTACAGAGACTAGTATGTTCTCCGAAATGGTTTTGACTATCAAACTATATGTTGACTTGTTTATTTAACCTTGATTGACCGCACTTAACTAGGTATAAGGACTACATCATTATTCAATTGCCAAATTCAACTTTTAGAGTAGTTTGTCTACAAGGATTGGATACTTTTCCACAAATGAGAACCTGGACCCAAAAAAACATCGCGAGAAACATAAAACAATGGAGTCAAACGAATGTCGTGGAATTCGGGAAACAAAAATAATTTAGGGAATGCGAAAAGTGTAGCGGTTGAAAAAGTCACACCATAAACTGAACTAAGTGAAGGGAGACAAAAAAAATACTGATAATAGGAGCGAATGTAATGGCAAAAGGAAGGAACAGTAGAAACAGGAACTAGTAGAAACAATAAGACAATTCAGAAGTATTTAGCGATACAATTATCTAGGGCAATATGAAACACATCAAGCACCAGCTATCCTGTCTGTCAAATCCAGATCAAGTTTGGAGTGCCTCAGAAAATGGGAAAGCAATTAGTGGTAGAGATTGATCTGAATACGTTGGATCAGTAATGAATGTCCAGACACCAAGCACACAGTCAGTTTAACCCACTGCTGCCATAAATCAGTAGGTCAACAAAATATGAATTTTAGTCCTCGGATCATTAAGTATTTGAACATTCATTTCAGTATTTTACAAACAGAAGTATGATTGTAAATAATAAACTAGACATGGAGTTAGCTTTAAAATCTCAAGGATAGATATAAACAGAAAAAAACCACACTAAAACACCAAATAAAAAATTCCACAACTTGATTACAAATGACAGTAATTCGGGATAGTGTAAAAATACTCGTATTGAACGAACCTGTACCATATCTTTTAGAGCCTCTTCAAACTCAACAAGGCTAAGGTTAGCTTGACTAAAAGCACCTATGCGCGGGTCTCTGCTGACCAAAGCTTCATGAAATAAGTAGTGATTGATGAAAGCCAAAACAACAGCAGCCCTTCAGAATATAAAAGAGCATACAAAAAGTTATGATAAAAGATATATTTGCTTTTAAGCTAAATACTAAGACGAAGGTAAAATCAAATCTCCCAATATCAGTTACAACGATTTAATATCTTACAATTTAGTTGGATGAATTTTTACTTTATCGTAATAATTAATCAGGAACCAACGTCTGCCTATACTGCTATAAAAACACAGCCCAAATTCAAATAAGGAATAAACTAACAGACGCGAGTGTTTTAGATACAATTCATTTGTCACAGATTAACAACTAACGATTAAATAGTTAGGCGTGTAATAAGTTGATCACCGACCAGTTACATTAGTAGAATGGAACAAACTGATGTGCAGTAAACTTGTCCCTTGGTTGGCAGACGGATATCTCTCATACGCCACAAGTTGGCAATAGCCAGCATAGCTTCCTGAAGTTTTAGCGATATTTTGCCAGGCACTAGACCATTAGGACTGATGAGACTCCGAAGATGAATCAAGCGGTCGATACAATTAACTACTTCCCTCCCTACCATTAATTCAGGCAATGACGCAGGCCAATCTTGAAGTAACATATTACATTTGGAGGAGGATTTTTTGTCCTTTCTTGTAAACTGGGACGATCAGTGATCGAGATCAGACAGATGAGACTACACCCAGTCCCCAGATTTTAACTAAGATCTCAGTCAATCTAACTGCTCAAACTGAACCACAATCCTTAAAAATCTCGGGGATTAATCCATCAAGTCCTGCTGTTTCCCCTCGAGTTAGAGCCTTTTCAACCTCACTGAGTTGAAGGACTTAAATCTATTCGCCATTCAGGTTTCTTGGAGATAGTGAGTATTTAAAGTGGTTGAAGACTGGTTGAACTGTTCCAAAAAGTGTTCTGTTCATCAGTTCAATCTCCTGGATTGAGTAAATAATAGACACGTTTTTTTCAAAGACCGTTTTCTCAACAGCCGTGCATTTAATGCCCATTTCATTGATAAGTTTGAACAGCTGTCTACTGTTATATATCGCCGCTGCCTTTTCTATCTCTTTTGCTTCCAGGATCCACCACTGCTCACGATTTCTTAGTGAGCCTTTTATCAGCCCACGTTTGAGTTGGTTTTGCTCGTGTTCAGAGCCAGACGGGATGAGTTTTTAAGCATCCATGGTTTAGTAGACGCCGCTGAAATCCATTGACTTTTCTTAATCTAATGGTTTAAGTAGCTGGTAGATATCACTACTGTTCAGATATCACCCCAAGTTAACTCAGGGTGGATATCACTCTCATAGTTGACTAACTGCTTCTTTAGTTGTTCCTAAAATATATTCTTGACTTTTTCATGATCAAGTTGAACTCTAAAGTGTTTGCTTGCTGTGGGGAATAGCAGCAACTAAAAATGAGCTGACTAGCAATAAAATATTACGATCAAATAACTAGTACAGTGGGAAAACAGCTTCCATTATGCGCAGGGGAAACAATAGGCCAACAAGGCTATTTGACCACTCAAGCCCTAAGAAGTTCCAAAACTCCAAGACGATAGGCGGAAAGTTAAGTAGCTAGATTGACAAGCTCTATAAAGGAGCACAACTATTTTACCCAATAGCATACTGTGTACTAGTGACTTAAGGTCACTAAAAAGTGAATGATGACTATGAAACTGTACAGATACGAATTATCTGCATTTATTAAGAAACTTGAATTCAAAGAAACGGATATGGTAGACTTTCAAGCGGTTGAAGTTTTAGTGAGACATCAACAATATTACTAAAAGCGTTCAAATAGTTATTCCTGATTGTTAGCCTTAGATGACTTTTGTTAATAACCACTTAGATCGGAAATATTCCAAGACTGATAAGATAACTACTTACAGAGCTATTCTTATGGAAATGCGTAAAAAACTAAGAGTGTTGGTTCATAAAAAGGACTTGAACTAGTAATATTGACCAGGAAACTATATGTTATAAGTGTCATATAAAGTCACACGAGTGTGACCTTACAAGTACTTGTTACACTTAGAATCGCTTATGGAAGGCTTCGAATACTTAAACTTTGATGACGATAATATTCACAAAATAGATTTTTTTAAATAATGAATCTTAATGGAAACAAAAACTGAGAATTTAACGTAGTCACTATCCAAAATATGATAAAGGTTCTTGGGCAAACATCTACGACGTACATAACATAAAGAAAAACAAGCATAGCAGTAATATTATTATATTGCTTTGAACGGGTTATTCTGACTTACAATTGGAAAGTCACAATTAAGACTAGGCACACTGTGTATACAACTCGTTTGCAGGGATCGTGTTTGGAATCTACAAATTGCACACGTCCACCACATTTCCCACAGCACCGAGCACAGAAGAAAACGATTCCAACAAGGGGCATAAAAATAGCAAATAGAAGACCGACAACAAGACATATGCCATATCCCAAGTATGTCGTTACAACCTGTATAGAAAAGTATGTGGTTATATATAAACATATACCATTGTTTATTTACTAAGTTTCTAAAGTATGATATATTTTTTAACATAAAAAACTCAAGGACTTGTAGAACCTAGAAAGTACAGTACTACGAAAAATAATTCGGTCAGTCATCATTTGAAAATACAGTGGATTTTTTAGCAACTAAGGCTGGGAAATGCGCTGAGTATGCACAAACACTCCAACATCAATGCACGACGTTTGCTATTATATAAGCACATTTGACAAAAGCTAGGGATAAATGAAACAATAATATCAGTCCATGAAGTCACTGACAATCGACCTAAGTCATATTTGTAGCTCGGACTACCTAACTGACGTCCGCGCTGCTATCGAGACTAGTAATTCGAGCCAATAGATGACGTAGTCTGAAATTTGGCAGCAATGGGACAGATTAATGCACTCTCCTTTCCCTTACATCCTGAGTGATGCAATTATTCTATGCATTCTATTTCGTGAATCACTTTTATAAAATTATATCTACACCTAATCATATTTTACTGTCATCAATACTACTGTGGTATTTATCTCAACGAATACGTTTCACTACGGTAACCTTGGGGGACAAACATATGAACTAAGCCTGACTATTATTTTTCTCGTAAAGTGAAATCTGAATACTTTGGTTGTGAGCTCCATTTGTTATATAACAGAAGTGCTCTGGATTCTCTTAAAAGCTGTAGCAGTCTATATTTAAGTTTGACAGATGACTACATATTTCACACTTTACTTATAACGCGAGGTTTGGAGACACTTTAAGACTATATCGTGGCAACACCATTTCAGGGGAGAACAAACCCTTAGACTCTCGACATTTCTTTGAGAGTGAGTAACTGAAGTACTTCCAATTGTCTGAAAAATCAGACGGTTTATAGCAGGATAGTTGTTAGTCTATTGTGAGATGAAATGAACTACTCCTATGGGTAGTTAGTTACCCTACAAAGGAAACAGCTTTCAGTAATTATAAACTCAAGTAAATTTTGAATATGTACACAAACAACTAGCAGTTGACAGTATTAATATTCAGATTTTGTTGTGAGCACAGGAGTTCAAACACTTAAGTTAGTCACTTTCTATCATGCTTGTGTTTATCCATCTCATAAAGTATTCAATTGAAGGTGCTCACATGAATTTCCTCAGCAGTTAATCACAGGATTCGACCACTGCAGGAAAACCTGCATGGAGCGAGGAAACTAGTTGCGTCTCTAAGATGGCCTAAACAAGTGGTTAGCGGGTGAACACGAGCAGGTTTAAAACGGTAAAGCTGTGACAAAATACAGTGCCTTTTGCAAAAATCAGATCACAACGTAAAACAAAGACAGAAACAGCAACTCACGGGCTCAATGCTTCTATATGCGAGTCTTGAGTGGTGAGAAGCTAAAAGTCGAAGAGAGTTAAAAGTCGATAAAAACGCACTTTGAATATTGACAAAGGTTTCAAAGACGGCTGTTGGTGGTTTCTGACCACGAATAAGATCCAAAAAGGAATTTGATATCGAGTAAGAAAACTCCACACTATCACGCAGTTGTAGCGTAGTTCTTGCAGATGAATCATCATTCACTTCTGAGTTACATACGGCAATATCAAGGCTTACACACAAAAACAATATCGTGCTAAAAACGACTCTCATCATTGATACTAACGAATCAGGTCAAGGACTTAAGCATTGCCAGAACAAACGTCCGAAACAATTTGAGCGGAAAAGTCATGGTTCAATAAACAAACCTTCAAGCTTCAAACTTTGCTGGCAGATATTGCGAACTGTTTCCCCCTTGGTATTTCTGTAATGGAGGAAGGTTCTCCTTTGTCCACGGTCTCTTTTTGTGGCAACCTTTTTGACAAGGATAGTGCTTATTAATGGGTGAGATAACCGAAAAGTAACACCTATAGCGACAGGAGTAATCAGTGATTCTTGCAGCGAAAAATAAAGACGACATTTTTCTACATTAGTGACAATTTGCATGTAATTGCACCTATATTCAATGCGTGCTATGACAAAAATATACTATTATCTATCGTTTCTCTGTATCAATGGTAAAAACGAATATAATTATTCGGTTCAAATGGTTCAAAATGGTTGAGGAAGGAATGGAGGAAGCTTTCACTCAGCGGGCTTCCGCATCTAGTAGCTGTGGATCATCAATACCTCCAAGCAGGAACCTAGTTATATTAACCATAATAGAGGGGAAAATTTGGCAAATCATAGTAATATATCCTTAGTCCTTAATGTTGTGATAATACATTTGCACACCACCTCTACACTAGAAATAAACGCCATCTCTATCGTCTGTTCTTCTACTTTGTTGGCCACGGCCTGTGACTGAAGATTATAATAATGTTATAACATCCTTTTAGGCCACCCTACACTACGTTGGAGTTTGGGCCCGGATTATTATCGAGTAATACTATCAGATTTATCTTTCTCATCACACCGTTAGTGCTAAGACGCGCATGAGGACCTTCGGTAATATACTGAATTAATGTGTGGTTGTTATCTCAGAAGGAGCTTATATGTGACATTCATCCCCGAAAATTGTTGTCTTGTCTAATGCATCATTTTGTTGCGTTGTTTGTTACCGTTTTCCTTTACTCATAAATAGACACTTCAGTTTGTCGTGATATTTCTTTCGGCATATCATTCACAACTATGCATTTTTTATATCTTGAATAAGCTTCTTTACTGTGATCCACCACACATCCAATATTATAGAGTTAAATAAATCCCCAAAATGAATAGTTCTGTGAGTTTTCGACATTGATGCTGGCCTTCAAGATGGCACAGGTATTCAGTGTTTGACAACGATTTAACCAATAACACCTTCTAATATAACTCGTACCCACCAAGAGAAATCAAAAGACAGAATCGAGGAGATTGGGAGATATATTTGATGACTATCAATATATCGAGAATCGTCTGATCTAATCTGGCTAGCGATTGCAGTAGATGTTGAGCACGGCGTTCCCACCTGTGATCTGATGCGGATGCATGACCGAGCGCCTTTAGCTTGGTGAGTCCATTAAAACATGTGGTCAGCATCCAATGTCGAAAACTTAAAGAGCCATTTATTTTTAGGATTTATTTACCGCTACAGCCCGATTAGTTTTACTGTACACACTAGCCGAAAATCCTCGGTCAAGCATCCGCACCAGGTCACGAGTAAGTACACTGTGCCACGTATCACTTGCAACTGCCAGACAGCTTAGACTAAACGCTTCTCGACATATCGACAGCCTTCTAAATACATCTTCGGACCCCTTCATTTATGACTTCGAAATCGACCGTGTTGGTGTACTTCGATTATAAAGGTGTTACGTGTGAACGTGCTGTCAAACTCTGAATACTAACGGCATTTTCAGTGTTAAATCCTTTCTCAAAGAAGTTAGATTAAGCCACCATCGCTTCGCTCCTTTCAGGGAATCCAATCGCCTACATAATCTAACATCTAAACTATTAACATCATTCTCAATGAGATCTCTTTTGTGTCCTCTCTAAAGAAGAAGTATTGATAGGTTCAGAAATTTATTGGTTGAAAATAATTATATCTCGTCACTTTCCTGGTTTTTAGCTTGATTGCTTCTAAGGTAGCTGAATATGGTTTGTTTTAAAGTTTGGATGCTTTATGAGCTAGTCTTCTTTGAACTCGTACTAAACAAATGGCATCGTCCGTGAGGTAAAAGGTTTGATGAAGGAGCTACTCCCAGCTACTGATTCACGATGGCATTTTTAGAGCCAGTAATGTGCCACCGAAACCAGGCCAAACCATCCCTGTGTTATACAGACTACAGAATTTCAAAAGTGAAAAACTGGAAGTAGCCATTTGCTTGCCCTGGACCTGTTCATGAGACAGTTTGTCTATATAATGTATATCTTTAACCCAAATTTACAAATACGTGCATTTGTAGATCACCAACGTAGATGATCTAGGCCGAAAATGATTGAAGGCCTACTCGAGTTAGACGTGAATGGTATGACAAACTAGCTAACGTTGAAGTCACACCGCGTGGTCAGCACCTTAAATGGACTACCCCATTGACGTCTTAAGGCACCATAGATGCTTTGAAGACTGTACAACACAGAAGACGTTATTACAGAAATATATTAGATAAAGTACATCCAAGCGAAAGTAAGACCACTGCCACATGGGCCAGTCCGTGGCATACGATTAACTGATGCGCGTTGGTTGTCCTATACCTTGACGAGGATCGATGATTTGTTCGATAATCAGTGACCCAACTGCAGGATGATTTAGCTAGAGCTTAGTGACATTTCGCTGGCGCTACACAATCATTTTGATAAAATTCTACTTGTTCCATACACTCACCAAAGAAGCTGCAATACCTGGTTATAAACGTGGGGTGAGTGTAGCGTTTGAATGAACTGATGATACCTTTGTACTTGATGACTGCTTGATTTCGAATTCTAAATACAATCCATTCGTTTGTGCTCATCTAGTACTTCTCGATTCAATAGCATTATTTCTGGGATTCTTAGTTCGTACTATAATTCAAATACTCCTAGTCATTATATTGGTGTCGCGATTGAGCCTATGATGGAACGGTTGGACATACAGTCAGATTTTGATGATTTTGAGGATTATTTTGAAAGGTTCGAAATCTGGGCTATGACCTAGGAAGATCATGAGGATGTTAATATTGTAGCACATTTCCTCACATTCATCAGAAAAGAAGCATATAGCTTATTAAAAACTCTGGCTTTACCGGAAAGGCCCATTTCGCTTCCTTATACAACTCTCAAGGATCTACTGCTACACTATGTTAATTATACAAATTTCGAATGTGGCAAAAGAGGAAGATTTCGTAAAGTGATTCATGAGGATATAGAAAATTCCGCTACATTACGTCACCCCAACTTAGTCCATACTCAAAGTTATTCAGATAATTCATTGAGGAGTTGAGATGCAGTTCACGAAGATGGGCACAAGTTTGGTCAATGTTTGTCCTGTGGCAAGTTCCACTCTTTTAATTCATTTAAATTTCGTAATTCTGAGTGCTTTAAATGTGGTGATATTGGGCATATTCAGTCAGTTTGTAATACTAATGTTCATCTTGCTGCACCGAATATTAAGTCCTCATAATGCATTTGTTTCTTGTGGGAAACTTGTTCAATACAAAGCACGATTATTGAGTGAACTCGATTTTGACTACAATTTGGATGATTTCATATCAACTGTTGTTTATCCTTATCACAAAAACACTTCTAATGTATACTTTAGTCGATGTGAGAAATATGTTTTAAATGAAGCCACATCATTCATAAATTGAGGATAAAAAGATCGAAGATTATTTCGTGGGGGAGGATAGTGTTGGAAAATCTATGATTCAAATTCTAGATATTAGTGGTGTCAGTACACAACCGACACGGTGATTGTACACAATCCCAGAAACCAAGTGAGTCTGCTCCGATTTCAATTGTTAATTCTAATACTAATGAGTACATTCTAGATAATACAAGGTCTTTATGCAAAACACTGTCGGACAAGCACAGGATGAACTTAAGAAGAGGGCGTGCAATCGATTACAGATACTCAGACTCTAATTTAAGCAGTGACGGATGGGGTGTTTGAATGAACTAATGATCCCTTTGTGCTTGATGACTGCTTGATTTCGAATTCTAAGTACAGTACGTTTGTTTGTGCTTATCTAGTACTTCTTGATCCTATCGCGTTATTTCTGGGATTCTTAGTTCGTACTGTAATTCAAATACTCCTAATTATCCCAGTGACAGGTTACTCATTGATGGTTAGATGTTAATTGACGTACACAGAAGGTCACACCGCTTTCGTCCAACCCAAGCAGCCTTACTACTAACAACATCGGTGAACTACACAGTGGAAGCGGTTAGAATTATTCAAGTATATATCTACCAATGGTATAGAAAAGAAGTTACGTGACAGCGTAATCTTTATTGACTGGTGAACCTTAAGGGTAAACACTCAATGTGACGAGCAAGATGACACTCGAGAAAGTTGAATGTTGGAATCACTTGCAAATTTTGACATGAATGTTTTACTACTGTTCACATTCACCACTGGGCCGACAAATAATTAAATGGAGGTGTTTGTGATGGCTTAGACGTTTTGTAGAAACAACGGTAGTCGTGTACTTCTTCTGGGGCAGGTACATGTTACTTTTACTGGCGTGACTTGTGATTCACAACATTTGTTTGTATTTGAGATGCTTCTCGAGTGCGGTTGTTAAATAGATTAAATCAATAAAAATAATAGGCTGTGCATTGGTGCAAATGTCTCTGACGGTTTTTGATTTTGTTTATGTTTTAGTATTGCACTATGAGTGCAGTTTTTATAATGTCTCAAAAATGGCTTCGCGTCTACGTTATGACCATGGAAAACGTAGACCAGGCCCAAACTCGACGTTAGTTTGTTAGGAATAATTGAAATACACTGAGATTTTGAACAATTTTTGTCACTGTTGTTTCATAATTTTAATCTATATATAAAAAGACCACACTGACCAAAGTGTTTTGTTTAAGTTTACCCTCATTATTCCTGTCCACTTTTCGCATGTTATACTGATTACCCTTCGCTAAACACAAGTATTTACATATACTCCTTTTTGTGACTTTGTTGACTGACGTTTTCTAACTGTTTACTAACAATGCCATTGCATACTTTTTAGCTCTGGTTATAAAGCAAATTCACCATCAATTACACGCGAAAACTTTGGGTCCATATCTGACATTCCATGGAATTATTGTCCATACATAACCATTATTTTGAACAAATATGGAACTGTGGACACGCACTCTTCTGATAATGACAAGTATGTAGTCGAATCGGGATTACCAATTGTAGCGTGGCGTCGAGTTGAGGTTAACTATGAACACCGCTACAAAGAAACACGTGCCAAGTTAAT